GTCTGTCTGTCTGTCTGTGTGTCTGTCTGTCTGTCTGTCTGTCTGTCTGTCTGTCTGTCTGTCTGTCTGTCTGTCTGTGTCTGCCTGTCTGTCTGTCTGTCTGTCTGTCTGTGTGTATGTCTGTGTCTGTCTGTGTGTCTGTGTGTCTGTGTGTCTGCCTGTCTGTCTGTCTGTCTGTCTGTTTGTCTGTGTGTATGTCTGTGTGTCTGTCTGTCTGTCAGTCTGTCTGCCTGTCTGCCTGTCTGCCTGTCTGTCTGTCTGTCTGTCTGTCTGTCTGTCTGTCTGTCTGTCTGTGTTTGTTGATAGCAGGGAGGATTTGGGGATATGAATTGCATCCAGTGCAATTTTGCTAAATACACATGCAAATTGCGTTTTTATTATTATTTTTAGTGTGCGCGTGTGCGTGTGCGTGTGCGTGTGCGTGTGCGTGTGTGTGTGTGCGTGCGCTGGTGTGTGTGTATGGGTGTGTGTGTCTGTCTGTTTGTGTGTGCGAGTGACACACACCCTTGGGATACCAGCTGTGGTGGCCTGTAGCATTAACCTCACAGTGACATGAGAAGGAAACACACCATAAATCACACACACTTATGTAGGTACACACACACACACACACACACACACACACACACACACACACACACACACACACACACACACACACACACACACACACACACACACACACTGCTTTTTTAATTAGGTATCGACCAGCAGCTGAGGAGGGGAAGCACAGTCTGGTTGTTTTGTCTGTGATGGTGAGTTTTTTTGTGTCTGACTTGGCTCTTTTTTTTTTCTATTTGGGCAGAAAAAAGGACTCTAGTGAATTCTCAGAATATTAAACATTTAGCATCATGTGAGTGAATGTGAAGAGCTGACATTTGCTCATCATTGCATATTTTTCACATTTTCATAACGGTGAAATAGGCTGGATGATGAATCACCATTTTCCCTTAATGACATCACAAAGGGCAGTAACCCCTCCCCCAGGTGGGTGACACTCCCACAGCTAGGTGTTTGTTCTGCCCTCTGAGTCTGACTTCTCACCGGAAACAATCGGGCATGGAGCGAGAAAGTCCAAGCCACATCCCCTTCCAGAGAGGGGGCGTGGTCAGACACAGCTCATTTGCATGAATTCATGGTAAATGTTCCTGGATATTCTTTGCTGCCCTCATCAGCACACCCTGACTTCACGTGAAAGTTGTGTGTGTTGTAGGGAAAAGTCTGGATAAAGTTTGGAGGAAAAATTGAAAAAAAGCTTTTGACATTTGCATAGATGATGTCGTTTTTCTGACGATTGCAATTTCAACATTTTAGACAAGGGGTAGACACTGTGCACAACGATACAACTACAGGGTTTAATCTGTTTCACAGCGACGCTGCCAGATTGTGTGTAGAAACACAACAATAAGAAGGAAACAGAGAGGGGCTCAGCTGGCACACACGGGGGTCAAGGCAGAGTTCAGAGGCCAAGTAAAGTACTCACAGAGAGGTCGATGATCCTTCAAGTCCAATACACACACTCTGACTCTTTAATGGAGACAATGGACTTGAATGTAAACACACCAGTACTCACTTCTGGACAGCAGACATGTAAAGAGAGGTCTGACTCAAGATGCATCTTATGAAGCTGAAAAATGAAGCCAGTGCAAAGACTTGAGGCTGGCTCCAAAAGCCAAGGAAATCCCATAAAGTCCCATGTGAAAAAGCCCATTGTTACAGCAGAAATCATGTTTACAGCCCTGTTCAAATAACAAATCCGGTAACTTTTCTCTATTGCTTAAAACTGTACGGGGGTTCATTTTTGTATAACTCATCCGTTTTGAATGTATTACTGCTAGTTATTCATATATTTGCATAATTGGGGGATTGGCTGAGTTGACTGACAGGTGGGCACATTGTCAACGTTTGCCTGGAAGCTCAAGGTCTGCCTCAGCTCCTCCTTTTTTTATGATTATTTGAATATTATGTTTAGAAACAAATGGGACTACATCCATGTTATGAGTAGTATATGGTCTGGTTTTATACATATGATAAGACAACAAAGGCAGAAAACACAAAGGTGCAGATGAAAACGCACATTGTCCTTTTACAAACATGCAAAGTAAATGACAATGTAGATGCATACAGTACAACAAGCAGCCAACCTGATGTTTTTTGTTTTTTTCAATAGCAGTGCTGATGAGTATTATCATTCCTCCTCATGTACACACTTCCTTTTCTGCAGTGAAGAAGAACAGCTGAGACAAATGAGATGCCACTCCTGACTTTAAAAACTGCAGGCCTCCTGAGGAACTGTGTCCTTGTGTGTGTGTGTGTGTGTGTGTGTGTGTGTCTGTGTGTCTGTGTGTTTGTGTGCACACAAACTATACAAACTAAAATACTGTTATTGAACAAAGTTAATTACAGGGATGGAGGTCACCCCGCCTAGACACTCACTCTTAACTTCAGAGGTGATTGTGTCCTGAACCAGGTGTTGTTGTATGTGTGTGTGTGTGTGTGTGTGTGTGTGTTTCTGACTTTGTGTGTGTTAAGAGGAAGGAAGTGATATAGATGGGTTCAAAGGAGTGGAAATCGTTTTGTATGTTACACCCCATATTAATTATTTTTCAAGAATAATTTGAGGCTTTTTTTTTGCCTTTATTATAGATAGGACTGTGGATAGAGCAGGAAACCGTGGTGCTCAAGGAACGACACGCAGCACTGTGTGTCTAATTTGTCTGTCGAAATACGAGCAGGAGAGAGGAGGTGTGTGTGTGTGTGTGCTCTGCAAGGTGAAGAACAGGAGAAGCATGTGTGTGTGGAGCAGAGCGACGCAATAATGAGAGTTATCAAGAATTAACAAGCTAACGATAGCCTGACCAAGCATCGAGTCTCTGAGGTCAGTATGGTATCATATCATGGTAACCTTATACAGCAAGGCTTCCCTTTTAAAGGTGTTTAAAAAGAGTTTGATGTGTTAAAGCTGTAGCTCTTTTGTGTTACAATAGTAGTCATGAAAATTGTCATGTCATTATCTAATTGCTCTTCTTTGCATTGAGGTGTAGTATTTTCCAAATATTGATGCTGATACATATTTACGATACTCCTCTTGCTTGGTTTCTGTATTTTCTGCCTACAATGAATCCAAAGTAATATCTTAGTTTATAAGTAATGCAAATACTGACAGAATGAGGCTGCTGTGAGGACGCAGGCGTCGGGGGGAATCAGTTTCACTTGTTTTGTCTCATGTTTGGATGGAGCATGTGGTGCATACACTTTGTAATAAACTGCATGGCTTTAGTTTTTGTTTGCACATACGTAGGTTGTATCACATGTATTGTTCTCATGCTTGTGTCAGAGTGGACCAGTCGTTTTTTTTTTTACTGTATTTTGTTAAGTCAGTTTTTTTTGTTTATTTATGTTCTTTATTTACCACGGATCAAACATTGCTACCCTTAGCTTAGAAAGTCTGATAGCTGTGGGATAATCACAACCAATGTACACCTACCTTTGCTTGTCCACAGGTTTGTCTTGATCTCACAGAGCCTGACTGAAAGGCAAACGCTAAGATCTTCATCATATTTAGTTTTTTTAATACAGTCTATATTAAAAAAATCAGTTCTATACCTTTTTTACCCAACTTCAGTGACTGCTCTACTGTTCAGAGCTTTTTAAATACCGAGTCATCAGGATGTTATTTGTTCTGTGATTATCTGAGATTTCTGTGCATATTTACTTTTAATAAAGAAAGCATGTGCTCTGCAACACTGCCAAGCTGACAACCAGTGAGGAGCTCTGATGCTGAAAGCGACTGATTCAGTTAATGACAATGGCGATTCAGTTTGCTCTTCTAATTTAAACCATGCAGCAAGATCTGGTGTTGAAAAATGAAGTCAATGCTGAAGTACGAAGCAATGCAGTTCCTCGAGTGTCCACTTGAAGTTGGCTCCAAAAGAGAAGTAACCTGATTTAGGTCCCAGGATGAAATACAGAGTTTTACAGCTGAAATACAACATTTTTATAACCTGGTACAAAAACGTTTATGGTCTGAATAGCTCCTGTCTTTATTAGCTCCTGTCACTGTAAGTGGGATTAACCATTTAATGACTCATCCATTTTGATTATATTTAGGATAGGAGTTATTCATAAATGCATTATTAGGGGTGCGTTCGGTATTAGGTTGACCAAAGTTAGGTTGAGACAGCATTTCAAATATGGTCCCCACCGTCTGTCGGCTTCAAAATTTCCCTCTGCAGTAACCAGATGATACTGAGACTTGTCCATGTTTTATACAGTCAATTGAATGAACACAAAAGTTTGTAATTTAATCCTGAGTCTTGAAACATCTCTTTCTTCTCATTCATTTCCTGCTTCCTGGTTCTTTCCTGCTGCTTTTGCACACACTGCAGTGATGACACGTTTCCTCTGGGACCTCTGTCTATAAATGCCTTCTTATTTAAAGTTTATATACTTGAATAGAAATTTGTATAAAATGCTTGATTGGATCTTTTGTACATGCAATGAATAAGGACCAAAGTGCCAAGGAGAGCAATTCCCCATTTGTAGCAACACAAACTGTGTTGCATTCATTTTACATAAAGAGGGAGCCTCTTTATGTGAAGGCCTTTTTTATATAACACACCCGCATTAAAACAGCAAATTGCAGAGCTCCCTTTTATTCCATTCAAAATAGATATTCTCTCAAGTGGTCCCAGTTTTAATAGAAAATTGTTTAAATGAGCTAGTTCATCACGGTCATGTCAGTGACAGTCTGATCCTCTGAGAGAACAAATATCCTATTGATCATTTAAAGACATGACATGAATTTCTTTTCTGCATTTTTACAACAACAAAAAAAAAAGTATAAAATGAGTATAAAAGAGTTCCGTTTTTTTATTGAAGAGATATCTTTAACGTCTGTTTCCCTTCTGGGTGTTTTGTTGCTTTTTCTGACGTGCAAACAATTCAAAATAAGTTGATCTTAATATTCATTAAACACATGTTTCATTATCATCACACAGGGTCACTGGCAGTGTCTGTCACCGATATGACGGCTCCCGTGGTCGGGTCATCTGGAGGAGTCTACGCTCTGGTCTCTGCACATTTGGCCAATGTAGTAATGGTACGTTTTTATGTGTGTGTGTGTGTGTGTGAAGATGGTTATCACATCAGTCAGTCGTCCTGTCACTACAGAGCATTGCCTCATCATCAAAGCAGCCTCTTTTTGAGGCCCAGCAGGTGCAGTTTATCTACAGATGCCATACATTCCTCACATCTCAGTTTCTCCTTCCCAAAAGATTACGAAGTGTGTGAGAAGGTTTGAAACCCCACGCTACTGCAGTCTACCCGTCCTGTGCGTCAGGAGACACTCATTAGGCAAAACAAAACAAAAAAAAAAAAACACTGAAGTGAACCTCTCTGAAGTCCTGTATCCAGTTCTGTGCAACATGCTTAAGGTCATGTGCAGGAGTACGCCCTCCTCCCTGCTAAAATAATATTATCTAACACAGCAAGAACAGATTGGGGGTCAGAGTGTCTCTGGGGCTTTCAAAATTGACATGAATTGAGACAGAGGGCACAATCTCATGCGCTTCCTTGTCTGCAAAGAGAACTTGACCTTTCTCGCACAGTTTGTTCTGTCTTTGTTATGAGAATGTTTATATGAATGATCTTTCTTTTTCCTCCTCTCTCTTTTTCTGTAGAATTGGTCGGGAATGAAGTGTCAGTTTAAGTTATTCCGGATGGCCATGGCTCTCGTTTGCAGTAAGTCTGAATAAAGATACCGCCACATGCCCTTTTCAACTCTGTTAAGCAAATATTAACAGAACACTTTTGGTCTGCTTTTTACGTCAGTTCTTCTCCAAATTACTCTCACAGCTGAGGAGAATCGTTTTACTCAGAACACAGCAATAGTTGATTATATGATGACAGCATAACAAAACAAAAAAGTAATGTTGTAGTGGGTCCAAAATTTTAGTGAATACATGTCTATGTTATTTTGTTGCTTGTCATATTTTGAAACATTTAGATTGCTAGTGAATCCGTCTTTCTGTGTCTTGACCACAGACTGTACAAAGAATGGACAGCACAAGAGAAGTGGGAGAGAAGTGAAGCCAAAAGATTTAGCGCTCCCTCTGCTGTCTGGCTACAGAATAGGTCATAAACTCCACCCCCTTCATGTTAACAGATGGAACATGGGGCACATTTTAAAAATATATTTTGAAATATAAAAAACCTCAAAAAGAATTTCCAAGCTAATTTTCTAGGTAGTTCGTATCCTACTGATGTATGTCCAAGTGGTACTTTTCTAAGAAGTTTAGTTTGATTTGTTAAATGTGAAAAAGAGCGTCACTTCATGATTGACAGCTCTGTTGACGAATGAAATTCCTGCGGTATTAGATTCTCAGAAAAGAGTGGGAACGTTGAGAGGAAACGTTACGAAGACTAACACACGAGTCTCTGAACTTTGCGTGAATGTCTGCTCCAAACCAACACAACAATTAGTCCTGCTGCAGACTCTACCAACCTTAGGGAGCTTTGCAGTTTTATTGCTAAGTTACATGTGGGCTTTGGTTCGCTGGTGGATGCTGCGGCTCCATCAGACCCCTTGTGCACATGTCTTTGCTCCAAAAGATGTAAACAGTACAATATGTCAGCGCCGGTCCCTGGGGGTGTTTTGGCTTTATTTTCTACAACAGAAGGAGATGGAGACATGTTGTCCATATATATATATATATACCTGCGGAAGGATCATTACCGGTTTTGAGATCCCCGCACCCGAGGCCGCGTGGCCCCTCGGTGCTGGCGGCGGATATGTCAGAAAAACACATTTGTCTATATATATATATATATATATATATATATATATATACAGTCTGTGGTCTTTCTGTTTTCCCATATTGTTCAGTAGAGATGTGGCTTTGAGCCAGGAATTCCAGATATTCAAAGAAAAACAAAAAATGGAAGAAGATGATAAGCTTATTTCAACAGAAGCCTCTTTGCTTTTCCAAGGTTGTTGATGAAATTTCTGTAAAATGATCACCTCAAATTGGAGTCCTCTCTCCACTGGATTAAAGCATAGGCTCACAATTTTTTCAAGTCTTTCTGTCAAGTCAAAAAGTCAGTCTCACATGTGAAACTGTGTTTGCTGTCATCATTTCTCTTCTTCATTCTCTCCACTGTGAGATCCCTTTGTGATTTTATCAACAGCATTACCAAGGGATCTCACAGAAAAACATATTAAACATTCATTATTGCATCTCAAAGAAAAAATTGTTTTGTTAAATAGTTCAGTTAATCATCTGGAACTCCACACATACTTACACCTGTTTTTTTTTTTTTCTCTCCTTCTCCTTGCACACAGTGAGCGTAGAGTTTGGTCGGGCGGTGTGGCTGCGCTTCTACCCTCCAGCATTCCCTCCTTGCCCCAACCCCAGCTTCGTAGCTCACCTGGGAGGGGTGGTGGTGGGTCTGACTCTGGGTGTTGTAGTCCTACAGAACTACGAGCAGCGGCTCCAGGAGCAGTCCCTGTTTTGGATCTTCTTCAGTGTCTACGCCCTGTTTGTGCTTTGCGCTGTGTTCTGGAACATCTTTGCCTACAGCTTGCTTGACGTGCGGCTCCCCCCACCACCGTGACTTGATATTAGTCCACCATCTGTAAATCCTTGACTGCCTGCTTGGATGAGCCTACTCAACCCTTTGTGTTCTGAGCCTCATCGTGGGTGGTCAGAGCCGTCTGATGGGCTCCTGACATGCAGCAGATTTTTGTGGTCAGTCTCATCATAACCTCAGCCCTTCCGCTTCGTTCCTGCTAACATCCTCCACCTGCTCTTTGTCTGGATCTCTGTTGGACGTTTGTCTCAAGAGTGTCGGCCAGTGTGGGACATATGTTAACATCACTGCGTTGACTAATGAGAAGCGTCGGCGCTAACGCAGTATTGTCTACATGGCTTAACCTTCTCTGCCTCTTCCTCCTCAATCCAACTGTGCCTTCTCATGGAGACGTCCGCCTGATGAAAGTATTTCTGCAAAGTTGCCTCTTTTGCTTACTCAGAGTAGTGAAACCCTGCAGTATCACCGATTTTAGGTCACAGAAGTACCTGGAAATCCTGTAATCTGCCTGCAGCATCATCATCAGTATGAGGTAGAAGGTCAAGGCTTAGTCAGTGTTTTGTCATCATTACAAGCAGTTCAAAAGCATAAGAGTGTAGATTTGACAGACCGCAGCACAGCTAAACATCTCTAAGGTCCACAACATGGAGAGAACAGAGTAAATAACAGCAACCCCTTCAAAGGTTATTAGAAATGTACCTTTGGGAGAAAGTGTGGCTTATGTATTCAGTGCTGCCTTCAGGATCCGGCACTTCCCCAGAGAAGGATTTATTTGAACCTTTAACTTGTGTCTTTGCCTTTTTTATGTGTGCTTGTATGTGTGTGTGTAAGGAAAGACACAATTGTTACCAGTGTGTGTGTACGGATTAGAAGAGAAGTACAAGTGCCATTCAGACTTTAAGCTTTCTAAAATGATGCCAAAACAAAGGGATGAGCACATCCCAGGACAAGAATTGCTTTTGTGTAAGAGAAAAATCTTATAATTTTCACAGGATTAAGTTGAATGTAACAAATGATGTTTGTGATCTTGAAGAATCTTTCACTGACGCTCTTAAGTGAACCAAGAAAATGCAGTCAAATAAATTGTTGTCATTTTGTGTTTCCCTCGGCCATTTACAGCGATTTGTACAATGACTGAAAATAAGGATGAAGTGTCAATATGTTTTATTTATGAATTAATCAGTTGATGGATTAAGGAAAGTTGGACTAAGCTAATGAAAACATAAACTATGGGGACATCTGGGGCATTCTGAATAAAACAAGTATTTTTCTCATTACCAAACGCAGAGGGGCACACAAGCCTGACCTCGACCACATCGGGGCCGGGGTTGTTTGCCTGTTATTTGAGTCAGCAACGGGGCAGAGAGGTCATAGTTCATGTCGTAACTTTGATTGTTAATTGATTGAATCGGGATAGAAAAACGACCCCAGCCTGAAGCTGTGAGTCTCTAACTGTACTGTACTTTAACCTCATGTTACTCTGGTAACTGCTTCGCACAAACATGATTAATATAATGTAATTATATACAGATTAATATTTTAACATGCTTTGGCAGTGTGTTTTTTTGTTTTTGTTTTTTTTACTCTGTGAGACCAGTATGTTGTGCAAAGAGGTTTGTCAGTTTGTTGTGAGATGTTAGTTGTATACTGTATGTGTCCTATTTAAAAAGATGGTTTGGGATTGTATATATTAAGGGCTATGACATAATAAAAACTGAGGGAGGGGTAAATCGCTGGTAATATTTTAACATTGTGCATATTTTGTAGATTTGATATGTACATACTGGAGTACATTAAACAGTTTTATATAGAACACAAAAATGAAATCTTTGATGTATTATTGCTTCCTTTATATACTGTATATATCTATAAGGTTGGTGAAAAAAAATACTTTTCCTGTGATTTTACTGTTACTGAGAGAACGTGCTAAATGTGCTTGTTATTTCTCTCATCAGTGTGAACAGACACCAGTGAAAGACTGTATGGAACTAATTTGGTCCAATTGTCCTGACCCAAAACCTCCCTTTGACCTGTCACACATGTTAGCACACACCCCCCATCCTGCAAAGATGCTAAGACAAGTGTTAAAAACCAAGCAGATCTGAAGCCTACATCTGAAAACTATACATTATACTTTCAAACTCTAAACCCAAAAAGCACACGTCAAAGTGATCAATGAAATGTGTAAGCTTACAAGAATCAGCCATAATTCATTCTGAGAAGGGACCCCTTAAGCTGTCGCTAAACATCTTCTCCGTCTAGCCGGTGCAACCATATGGAGAGTAGCGGCTATGAAAGCGCACAATGAAAAATTCATTAGGCTGCCTCAGTTGTCTCTCCTTCATAAATCTCCAATTTCAGAGGTAATCATTCACCTTGGTGAGAAAGAGAAGACAAATGCGGCTGCAGCAAAGGGAAATCTGTCTGAATGCATTTGTAAGTGCCTCTGCACTTCTATGCTGCCTGCTGATAGCAGAACTTTTTACAATCAGATCCAGCTTTAAAATGCATTTCAGATCGTTTTAGGTTAGATCGAGTTGGATTATTGGTGTCCTCCTTATCTGTTTTGTCACCCTACTTTGTTAGAGTATTTGAATGCAGTGCATTTGTGCCTACCTGTGTGTGTGTTATGTATGTATAAACGTGTGCAGGATTAGATCTTATTATTATGAGATCTAATGACTAGATCAATACAGCAGACAGGGCCTTTTCAGATTCAGTGGCGACCTTAAGTATTTGGGAAACCAAGCAAAAATAATACAGTCTATGGTTAGAACCCGTTTATCATTGTCATGAAGGCGTCCCTTAAGTGGAAGGGTGTCCCCCAAAGAAAGTAAAGAAAAAAGATATGATGTCAAAGAAAATGCTTTTTTTTTTTCTTCCAAAGCTTCTCTCCGACTTAACACTCAACACACTCTGATGGCAAAGTTAGGGACATTATTTGTGCATCGACGTCTCCATCAAGCGGACACTGGCGGACATAACGGGTGTCAAAAGATGTTGTCGTGCAAAATGGAACATCAATCTCTGAGAAATAACATCGCGTTTATCCAGCCGGAGGGACGCTTTTGTTGTCTCTGCAACCCGCGGATTCCAGAAAAATTACTTTAAAAACAAAAGTGTGTCAGGAACAACAACTTATAATTCCCAACTGCAGCAAAGAACAATATTGTAATTTGACTTTGATTCAGCTGAGTGCACCCTATCTGAACATGCGTAACCTGCATTTTAGGCCTATGTTTCTGCAGATTTTTGCAACCAAACAGTAAGCTTTGTGAAATATTTCCAAACACTAAACGTAGACCTGAAGTTAAGGCAGAAATATCTGATAAACGAAATGCAATTATCTACATAAACTACGGGGGAATTAAGATCTTTTTTTATTACCTTTATAATAGCTCACAATTAAGGGGCGTGGTTATGTCGTGACGTAGATCTTCTGTCTTCGCGAGCCCCCCCCCCTACAACTTCCTTCTCCAGCTCAGCGCCATTTTCGGCGTTGTCACGGGACGACAGCATGCCGTTGTCAAACAGATAATAAGACCACTATTTAACGTTGTTAGACCTATTTTTTTCCCCAGTATTCCATAAAATGGGACGAAAAAAGAAGAAGCAGATGAAGCCATGGTGCTGGTATCCTTTTTGACTGGCTGGCGGGAAACGGACCTTTTAATTGCCGAAGGAGATGTAGACAAAAAGAGAAGGCCTCACCGTGGATCTACTGCTAACACAGCTAACGCTAGTTTTGATCATTAGACTAAGATAGGAGATGATTTAATGAGTGCTGCACGTCAAACTGTGCTTATTAGTAGACGTATTACTTTTTAAATTGTGTCTCTTTTCATCAGACTGTGCTAAACTCACTCAAATTAAGATGAATTTAACCACACGGTTACCTGCCTTGTTAGCCACATTAGCCGTGCGCTGACGGATCAGGCAGCGTTAATGATTTAATCTTCAATGTACTTTTGGTTTACAGCTTTGTAGAACAAGTCAGCTTTACATCGGTGGTTAATTGAGGTTAACTTAAGACTTAAGTCTTAATTGCTGCACACTTTGTGCACGAAAGAGCTTCAGTGTTGCCTCGCAGTGCAGCATTATATTTGTTGTCATATTCGTGTTTCCGGGTTTCGCACGTAATCCTTAACTCCTTTTATGTAAGGTACTGTAATCGGGATTTTGACGATGAGAAGATCCTCATTCAGCATCAGAAGGCAAAGCATTTCAAATGCCATATTTGCCACAAGAAGCTGTACACAGGCCCAGGCTTGGCCATCCATTGCATGCAGGTAGGTTCCTTTCCTTTGGTATCTGTGCCCTAAATTAATACACAAACTTTGGTCTCTTTGCCTTAAATTAATACACAAACTTTGGTATCTAAACCCTAAATTAATACACAAACTTTGGTCTCTTTGCCTTAAATTGATACACAAACTTTGGTCTCTTTGCCTAAATTAATACACAAACTTTGGTCTCTTTGCCTTAAATTAATACACAAACTTTGGTCTCTTTGCCTTAAATTAATACACAAACTTTGGTCTCTTTGCCTTAAATTAATACACAAACTTTGGTATCTGTGCCCTAAATTAATACACAAACTTTGGTATCTGTGCCCTAAATTAATACACAAACTTTGGTCTCTTTGCCTTAAATTAATACCAACTTTGTGTATCTGTGCCTAAATTAATACACAAACTTTGGTCTCTTTGCCTTAAATTAATACACAAACTTTGGTCTCTTTGCCTTAAATTAATACACAAACTTTGGTCTCTTTGCCTTAAAGTAATACACAAACTTTGGTATCTTGCCTTAAATCAATACACAAACTTTGGTATCTGTGCCTTAAATTAATACACAAACTTTGGTCTCTTTGCCTTAAATTAATATACAAACTTTGGTATCTATGCCCTAAATTTATACACAAACTTTGGTCTCTTTGCCTTAAATTAATATACAAACTTTGGTCTCTTTGCCTTAAATTAATACACAAACTTTGGTCTCTTTGCCTAAATTAATACACAAACTTTGGTCTCTTTGCCTTAAATTAATATACAAACTTTGGTCTCTTTGCCTTAAATTAATACACAAACTTTGGTCTCTTTGCCCTAAATTAATACACAAACTTTGGTCTCTTTGCCTTAAATTAATACACAAACTTTGGTCTCTTTGCCTAAATTAATACACAAACTTTGGTCTCTTTGCCTAAATTAATGCACAAACTTTGGTGTCTATGCCCTAAGTTAGTGCATGAGCTTTGGTGTCTTAGTATAGCCAAGAAGATCCTGTAACATCCAGATCAATAAAGGGCTGCTGGATAAGAGCATCATCTGTTACTAGATGGGATGAATGTACCTCACTTGATATGGTTGGATGTGTGCACTGGCTTACCCTGCATGTGTTTCAGGTACACAAAGAAACGATCGACAGTGTCCCAAATGCAATCCCTGGAAGAACGGACATCGAACTGGAGATCTACGGTATGGAGGGGATTCCAGAGAAAGACATGCAGGAAAGAAGACGAACGCTAGAACAGAAATCACAAGGTCTGTAAAATCTTAAAATGTATTTATTGCCAGCTTCTTTGCTAAAGTTGTAATGGTGTGAGAAATGTTAGATTGGACGCTTTGTTATGGAACATTTATTTGGCGTTTTAAAGGTTAATGAGCAAAGTAATAATTTCGCTGAAACCCGGAAAGGAAAAGAGGCACCTTGCCTAAAAGCAGCTTAATATGAGAGCTAGCCAATACTGATTATTTACATGTATTTTATCTATTCAGTTTCGTTAAGAATTGTAATCAACCTTATTAAGGTAAGAAGCTTTGGCTGATTGACTTTTCCTAAAGCCTTTAGGATTACCTTTCTGTTTTCAGAGAGCCAAAAGAAGAAGTCAAATCAGGACGACTCTGATGAAGATGATGATGACGATGATGAAGCAGGACCATCAGTACAGCAGGTTGCTGCTGTTCAGCCCCAGCCAGGCTACGCTGCTCCAATGGCCCAGCTTGGGATGCCTCCTGTGGCCGGTGCACCCGGGATGCACCCTGGAGGATATCAAGGCAAGGACCACTTATAAAAATGGCATGATGTTAGAAATAACAATAACTGTGTATGATGTGTGTGTGTGTGATGGTGTTGAGTTGTAAACAGAGATGCCTCCTAACTCATTTTTTCAGGGATGCCTCCGATTATGCCAGGCGTTCCTCCCATGATGCATGGCATGCCTCCTTCCATGCATGGGATGCCACCAGGGTAAGAGCAATATTATGAATTATGTTTTATGATCTTGCAGTTTAATTCTATATTAATCTTTACTGTTCAGAGGTCTTTTAAAATCCTACACTTTTTGGGAAGGAATAGATCAAAGGTTCACAGATCAAATGAGCTGCACCTTAAAAAACAAATTAAGTTTGTCTTCTGCTGTAAAGGGCTGTCATTTTTATAATTTAACAACTTCGAACGACTTTACAATATGACATGGTAATGGTCAACCCCATTCGAACATACTCATTTAGTTTCTGTGTGTCCTTCCTTGATATACCTGTAAATCAGATGGAAGTTTTATTGTAGAAATAGCAGCAATATTAGCAGATTATTTTTCCTGTCTTTGCAGGATGATGCCTATGGGTGGAATGATGCCCCCCATGATGCCAGGGATGCCTGGTTTACCCCCCGGTGAGTTGTGTTCATATATCGGTAGCAAGAGCAATTTAAAATCATAACCACAGATGTTGTTTTTTTTTAAAGAAAAAAAGTATAGTTCTAATTATAGTTAAAGAAAAGATGTGTTCAGGCATTGAAAGCTTACCTGTATGAAATTTATGAACAAAAGTTTATCTTCTTTTAATTCATAGAACCCTGGTTCGTTTTTTTTTTTTTAGCTTTAACATTTCTTGATTCTACTTTCGTTATTATTATTACTGAGTTGCTCTGCGTTCAAAGTTGTGGTGGAAGTTTAATTTGACCTTTTTGCGTTGATTTTGCAGGAATGCCCCCTCACATGGCTCCGAGGCCAGGGATGCCACACATGGTCCCAACCCCTGCAGTAGGAGCAATGCCAAGTCGACCGACAGCACCAGCAGCCCAGCCTGCAGTCAGCAAACCTCTCTTTCCAAGTGCAGCACAGGTAGGCATCACGTTGTCCCCAAAAAACATGCACTCTGACCCACCACAAGCTTTTCAGAGGATTCTGATTTGTCTGTTATTTAACCATCTTAAAGGCCCTTTGCCAACACAGCGTTCTGATCTCTGATGCCCTGGTTCTTCATTTTCTGTCTTTCTCCCTCCTAATTTAATTTCCTTTAGCCGTCACTGCTATGTAGTATGTTTTCTTTTCATTACATAGTCGGGTAGATTATGTGGACACGTTCAATGCCAATGCTGTGATCTCCTTTCCACCATGCTGCAGATGGGCTCTGGTGTTCATAGCAGCACAGCTGCCGTTTCCTCTCCACCTGCAGACCTTCAGTCTGTCTCCTCCCAGCCTTCCTTTCCTAACACGCCTCAAGTACGCTCACAGACAGGACTTTGACTTGGGCTGTGGCAGCTGCATGTTGCTTATCTTTAACCTCTCCCTCTAAATTCCTAAGTGGGCTTATTACTAACCTTGTTAGTATTGTCAGCCTTTCTGTGCATCAGACTGAGCACATTGGCAATAATGTGAGAGGAGATTTTCCTCGATGATGACTGACATCATCCTTACCTGAGCTTTATAACTGCATGTGCTTTATTTATTACACAATGAGGCAATAACAATTGGTTTATGTGGCTATTAGTTTGCATCATCACCCCCTTATATCCTCTAAAGCATGACATCTTCAATAACTCCTCATCATGCTTTGAAATGACTTTGTGTGCTGCAGCTTAACATGACAGACATGACACTCCTGAGCATTTGAGTTTTATTGATAATAAATTCATAATTTTTGATCTCAAGGATCGAAGTCATTTCAAAGAAAACAATGCTCTACATTTGAAAATGCAAAAGTTTTCTCCTGATTAAGAACGACTCGTCTGTTTATTGTTTAATTTACAATGTAATTCACGTGTCAAATCGATATCTGTGAATGAAAGTGTAAACCTCAAACTGAAATATTACACCCAGCGATAATTCACCTTTGAGTTTTATTTAAGGTGATCCTCTTTATATGATGTTGAGAATTTCAAATTTTTATAAAAACTACCCCACTATAGAGCAGACACTAGTTATGTTAAATATGGTCTCCTCTTTTCTGTCATTGTGTTTACATCTGGTAAAAGTATGAAAGCAGCTGTTTGGACTGAACCTGTCGCTCACCTGTATCGTGTTCTTTGCACAGGCCCAGCAGAGCACTTCAGGAGCCGCAGCGTCAAACTCCCACAGTACATCGGCCTCCATCGAGCCACCCAAAGCAACATTCCCTGCCTACACCCAACCCTCTGTCTCTTCTTCCTCTTCCACTTCTTCTTCTTCTAACCCCTCTAGCAGCATTGTGGCCAAACCCCCTGCCACAGTGCCCACTAAGCCCGCCACCCTCACCACCACGAGTGCAACTAGTAAGTTGATCCACCCTGATGAGGATATCTCACTGGTAAGTTGCTTGAGCTTTCTATTTTGCCCTTTTCACAGTAAGTAATGACTGATACATACCATAGTACGTTTTAGAGAACATTTGATTTTCAGTCTGTTTATGACGATCAATATCGAGCTCAGTATAACAGTTAAAGAATATGTGCCTTGTGTCAAATAAAGCATTTAGGTTTGCACATCCTTCCTCTTTCTTAGAAGTTTCTCCTTTTGTTTGGTTTTGTTATGTTGAAATGATATGTCATCAATATGAGATCAGAGCACGTCTGCATCGGTTCCCAATTCCCCGTAATTTTTCTGTGAGTGTCTGTGGGGCGTAGCAGTGATTCTGTCGCCTGAATGTTTGCGTTGTGTGTTGTCCTTTCCAGGAAGAGATGAAGGCCCAGTTGCCTCGTTACCAGCGTCTCATACCCCGGCCGGGTCAGGCCCACGCTGCTGCACCCTCGGTGGCGGCTGTTGGCAGCATAATGCCACCACAGCAGGGCATGCCACCCCAGCAGCCCGGCATGAGGCATCCCATGCATGGTGAGGAAAGGCTTGTTCGGACGAGTCTGAAAATGTGCTTCAGCAAAGTCTTTCATGCAGTCGCTTTTTTGGCACTATAATTATTATACTATAAATAAACTTTGGCCACGATTTGCAGTTTTCAAGGCCAAATTTTTATTTTATTTATTTTTTTAAGAATCACAAAAATTATTCTTAGATTTAAAGTCTGTTCTAGAAGTTACTAGAAGTATACTGTTCACTGATGGCAGCCTTAAACAATGACAAGCACCGTATGACATCTGATACGATGTCTTGTAAGTCCAACTGACTAACTTACATGCCAGAAGTCTGTTGACTTGTGACCATGACATCCAGTATCAGTGAGCTGCTGTTATATTTGCTTTGACATCACTGCATATTTATCAGGATATTTACTTTTGACCCCTTAAACCTTGACATGTTTGTTATGACCTAACTGTGTGAAAACTGAACTTAAATAACTTGATTTTAAAGGACTAATGTTATTATTAACATAACATCCATCACTTACAAACCATATTAAAGCCAGTTATTACACATCGTTCTCTCCCTGTGCTCTCTCTCTCTCTGTAGGTCAGTATGGCGCTCCTCCTCAGGGCATGCCAAGCTACATGCCTGGAGGGATGCCTCCATATGGGCAGGGTCCTCCCATGGTCCCCCAGTACCAGGGAGGCCCTCCCATGGGCATGAGGCCGCCCGTCATGTCTCCGGCTGGACGCTACTGAAGCAGCAAAGCAGCCACTGCATTAGGTTTGAGGTTAACACCTTTCTCTCATCCTTGTGCTTTTTCAAACCTAGCTGCGAGCAAAGAGCAGTAAGACCAGTGGTGGTGAAGACAAACGTAATTTGCTAGCACACGTGGACACTTAATGTACCAACTTTATTGGAAAACACCACATAAGTTCCTGAAAGCTATTCTGTTGTTATTTTGATTTCATGCGAGGATATATTCTTCTCCCCATAGGTTTCACTCAGGTTATAGAAGTGAAGTGTGTTAAAATGATTCATATTTCTTTTGAAGCTGCTGGAGTTTCATGAACGTACCAACCCCTTACAAAGGCAAGTTTCTCTTGTAAACATTTGACTCATTTTTCTTTTGTTTTCTTTCTCCGTAGTTTGATTGAGGCCCTCACAGCACGCTTAGGTGCTGTTGGACTTGCGTCCCCAACCTTGGTTGGTGAGGGTCTCAGTGATGAATATGATTCCAACTATGTAGTGTTACAAATGAATGCTTCATCAGTCTCTAGCTTTAGTCTTATTTCAGGTTTGTTTTTAATATTTTCTGCTCAGAAAGGGTTCCTGTACGCATCCTTTGTAATGTTTTATGAATCTGTTGTAATAAAATTCATCTTGAAATCCAATGCTGGTTTGTCCTGAAGTACGTGGAGGTGAGTTAAGGTTTGTACTGCTGTTGTATCTCTAGAAATATTAATAAATTATTATTATTGTTGAGCTTCAGCTTACCTCATTGGGTATTTCAAAACAAGTTTGCCATCATCTCTTTTATTATCTTCCATGATCCTAATAAAAAAACTGGACATTATGTTTATATATATATATATAAAATTTGACTGTGCTGTGAATCACCTCTTCTCAATAATGTGTTTAAATCATGTGGACGATCAGCCCGATCAAAGATGGTGGCCAACTTGTGCTCTCGGTGCATGTAACTTCATAATAATGATGGAAATATCTGAGGATTAAATCATACTTGAAGATATTAAAGTCTTACATTTCTGTGAAGAAGGATCTGACCTCTGATTCACTAACCGTTCTTCTGTACACACATCAGTAGTAGAACATGCATGAACGTTTTAGTGTCATATCCTAATGCCATGTTCCCATGATGCACTGCAGGGGTTGAGCACAAAGAGAAGACCCTCAGCAATACAGAAGCTGTTAAATTCCACTCAGGTGAAGCTCTTTTCTCAGTTTATTTATTGAAGTTACACAATTACTCTTTCTTTTTATTATTTAGGATGCGTCATGATTTAAGTTTTTTTCCCCAATACTCAACAATTCAGTGACATATTTTAATGTATGGGTTCAGCCCTGTGATGATCTCCAATGACTGTAACAAACTTAAAACGAGCCTCTGTAAATGTAGCATCTCCTCCCTCAATGCTGCTGATCTAGAAAGTAACATTTCATGATGTAATGAATTAAAGATGATTACCTCTGCTTCTGTTTGGGTTCATAAGGAAGAAGAAAAGGAAACCGAATTTGCTTTTAAGTGTCAGCTAATAAACATCGGGGTGGTTTAAAAAAAAACGGCTTCACTCGTTTGGGGTTTAGTGCAGCGGCCCTAAGTCTTGCTGAGTGGTTTGTTTCCTCTTCATCCTTTCTGTTCCCAGTATTCACTTAACCATCGCTCATTACTCTCTGACCCAGAGATTGCTGTACAGAAAGTGATCTCTGACTAAATAAGCCTGAGAGTTTAAAAAAAACAAAAAACGACTAACATCAGGTGTACTTATCTGATTCTGTTGTGCCCACATGAAGCTAAACCGATCTTAACCAGTATTGAGTGTGGCACACGTTTTCCTCTGACTCATATCACTTACTGCTTTGTATTTGTTTTTGTTGTCTGTAGCCCATCCATATCAGCCTTTAAACCCACTCAGCTGGCATGACAGGTCAGTTAAACCCAGTAAGTACCTGATGTTTGTTCCAATGTGGGTCTGTCCTGAACTTCTGGATCAAAGGCTTTCTATTACATGTTGTATTCAAGTGTCTGTATACAACTGTACCTGATAATTCGCTTCCATCGGGGAGCATATTTGAATAAATTGTTGATTTAGTTTTTTATTAAAAAGGCATTCAAATGTTGGATGTTTAGTGGTTAGAGGTGAACAGACATGGTAAGTCCTCAGATGCAGCTTTTAAGGTTGTCTGTGTGACGGGTTAGTTCAGCCTGAAGAAACAAACAGTCCCTGTTCTCTGGTTGTATCCACTGCAGCTGATAACGACCCTTTGGGCTCACAACACCTAGAGGTGAATTCCACTGAAATTCACTTTGGTGAAAGAGTAAAGCAACAACAGAAAAGTCCCAAATTTGAGCTTGAGAGTCAAAGATATCCTGACCTGATTCAGGGTAGTGGTCAACCTTTTCAAAAAAACAACCTACAGCCCCTCTGCCTGTCAGCATTATTCTAAGAACTTAAAGATTCCTCCCAGGACTTTTAACAGTACTCTCTTTTTAAAATGATGAGTAGTACTCGTGACAGTCGATTTATAAAACCAGAGAAATGCTGTTGGAGCAAAGTCTTGTGACTCAAAGAACGTCACAGGAACTTCTGCCAAACAGTGATTGATCCTTCTGCAGATCATTTCATCTGAAGGATCATTTGTAGACCTGAAGAGATCAATGTTCAAATTCTACTTGGTATAATATCAAGATATATTTTTACTCTGTCTTGTTGTTCAGATATGAAGCTGCTGATCGTTTTATTTCTAGAAGGTTTGAGAGTCTGTCTTCACCTCTGATCACAGAATAAGAAAACAACAAAGCAACATGTTCTCCAGAGTCTAAAATGAATGCACTCGTATATTGTGTTGATGAATTATTGATTATGCATTAAGCACCACACAGTAACCTGAACTGTATTGAAGTACTGGGGACATATATTGATATTAATGATCTAGAACAGTGGTTCTCAACTGGTCTAGTCTAAGGACCCAACACTACCTCCTTCATGAAAATCCTGACTCAAGTTTCTGATATTTTTTCCACCAGTCAGATTTATTGATTAAAAAATTGTGCAGTTTGGAACGAAAAACAACTAAAAACAGCTCCGTGGTCCGTTTTGGATCCCGACCCACCGGTTGAGAACCACTGATCTAGATCCACAGTTTCAGGTGTCAGCACAGCCAGACACCACTAGAGAGAAGTGAACATGTTTTCTTCTATACGGCTGAACTGACTCCCAGAAATGTTTGTGACTGTACTGAAGCAGTGAAGTGGACGCATCTGATCCACACAATGTGTCTCTAAATGTGAAACCTAAAATGTCTTTGACGACAAATCAAACTTAGTACGTCTCTTTGTTCCTGATTTATTATGGTTTTTGGATTATTTAAGGTTTTTAAAGTTGTAACTTAATATCAGAAAGCAGCACGACTGAAAATGTAACTTTCAACAATGACAAACTTGCTTTTTTTTGTTTTCTTAATAAAAAATAATAATTTCATCCAGCTGACATTTGTTTTTCTTCCATTCATGATAATAAAGTATGAGGCTCTATCATGTGTTGTATGTCTTAAAGTCACCAGTGCACCACCTAGTGTCATATGGGGGACATTACAGGCCCCTCAAACAGATCCACATTGATCCCCCTCTCCCCTTAAATCCAGAGGAAACATGACGAGCATGATGGTTTTAAATAAATCTAATATGTTGATTCCTGCTAGTACCTGTGCCTTACTTTAGGAGCCACCTCATCAACCATACAATAAAAGTACTGAGACTCCTTGATTAGGTGTTTATACAGTAATGACCATGAAGTGCAAATATACTCTAAGGGCTGACAAACTTCAAACCACAGAGTTGTTCAAATTGTTCCAAGTTTGCAATGGCAGTAGGAAACCTCCCTAAGAGGTTCCCATCTCACAGCACTCACTCATAGAATAGTGAATGACTGAATAATGCTCGTCTAGCCCTAAATATGGGGGAGAGACACTTTAATGACAATTTAACAAATGTTTTTGTTGGTGTCAGATTATTTATAACATTGAGGTTGAACGCTGTTTGTGAGTTTACGCCTTGGGCCACACCAGACTCCAGAATCGACGCTGCTGTTTGTGCATGTGTGTATTTTGGGTCTATGTGGGAGAGAAACATGTCTCTCAATATCAGAGTAAAAAATAATTCTCCTCAGGGATTAATAAAGTATCTGAAAAGAAAATCTGATGACTTTATATCAGTAAAAATGTGTCACTGCGTGTTGAAGCTTCCAGGAATTAGTCATGAATCTCATTAACACTGAATTTGTGGTTAGAAGCATCAGTGAGAGAAGACTACTAGACCGCAAATACAGGTTTGACTCTTCATCAATTATTTGGTTTCAAAGCTCCAAATCCCACCTGCTAACTTTAAGAACATTAAATTCAAGCCATCAGGGAAGCGTGGACTAAAGAGTAACTGATCGATAACAAAGATGACATTAAGACATTAAGCCCCTCGCCCTGAGGCCCTCCTCTCAAGCATTAATTCTCAGTAAATAAAACCTTCTGTGGCTGTGGCTTCTGGCTGGACGAGCAAAACAACACGTGGTTTCTTCGGTTCTGTTCACGTTCTGTCACATAGCACAAACCACAAAGTATCTGTGAGAATTATCAGGTGTTACTTTTCGAAACTGTTTGTGTAAAAGTTGAGACTAAACTTTGTGTGTGTTGAGAGAGTAATAATCGAAGTGCCAAGAGCTTCTGTAAATTCATACCTGACCCGTGCTTACACCTTCAGTCATATTAGACTTGTTAAACATCTTCTAATTGCCTTTAATATCTTATCTGCGGATCAGCGTGTTATTTATAGTGGTAGGAAGGTAAATATGAGTGGAAATTCCCCAAGAAGCCAAAAAGGTGACATGCTTTAAAGTGTGAAAAAGTGGTTCCACAAGCTGCCCACCGATACAGACAGTCATGATGTCTGTCTGTCACGATCAGAGCTGTAAAGAGTACTAATATATTGTACTCAAGTAAAAGTACTGTTACTTTGATCAAATTTTACTTAAGTACAAGTAAAAGTACCAGTTTAAAAATGTACTCCTGTAAAAGTAAAAAGTAACTAGTTTAAAATGTACTTTAAGTAAAAGTTACTTAGTTACTTTTTTTTAAACAATGCATCTCTTGTGTGTCGTGAAAAAGGATGAGAAGATATTAATATTGAAGTTTTTTTAATTAAAGGCCAATCTTTACAAAGATTTTCAGATAGACATTTTCTATCCTACCCCATTGACAAAAACAAAATATACATAATGATGAATAAATAATCAAGGATTATATGTTCAAGTAATCAGCTGTTTTATGTCAGCTGTTTTAGGTATATTCATTTGTCTGCATGTGTTTGTTCTGCCATGCTGCTCGAGGCAGGGAGAGCAGCTTATCATCTTTTCATGTAGCAGATACATGAGGAAAAAATGACTCATGTATCTTGAAATGGAAAAAGTTTCATCAGCTGAAATCATTCCTACAATGTTATTCTGTCTGCAGACGTTAACTAAAAGTGTTAGTTTTGTTTCTTCCAGAGGACTTATAATTCTATATTTAAGCCTTTAGTCCACCTGATTTCTTTTTTTTTTTTTTAAAACTCCTTTTATTTTAAACAGTCAGAACAGGAGAGTTGCATGTTTATGCATTCAGGTTGTGGGCCGATGAAGCTTTATCGTGATTTTAATGTCACTCTCATTTCCTCCTGGATATGCAAAAAGAAGAATGTGGACAGTTTTTCTCAAGTCTGTAAATAATGCAAGAAAAAAAGAAGAAGAAGAAGAAGAAGAAGAAGAAGGTGAAACTGTTAATGAAGCTGTCTGCTGAAAACAGAAGACTTGAAGGGCCCCAGTTGAAGCCATGTTGGTGCTCAGTGTGCAGCTAATCCTCCATAAAGACTTCTGATTCTCCATCACACACACACACACACACACACACACACACACACACACACACACACACACACACACGCACACACACACACACACACGCACACACACGCACACACACGCACACACAGTGGCTGGTGGGTTAGTATTTGCTTCCTCTTGTTCACGTCTTGTAGCTTGAAGGTGGAGCTTCATGGAGTTCCTCTTGCTAACCAAAGTTTTGACATCCAGTTTTGAGACTTACCAGCCTTCCCTCCTGACCTCAGTTCAAGACTTCTGCAGGTGTTGAAGATGAGTGAGGTCAAAAACCTGGCCTGTTTTTATACTCTGCTCTTCGTGCTGACGGGATGTGGTGAGTTTAGTTCTGTTCAGGCCGGTCGGATCGTTTGTTGTCAACTTAATTATTATTGTGCAAATAACAGGAAAACTTGACAAGCTAGTAAAAGTCTTAACTACTCAAAATTCTTTGTGGGATAAAATGTCAATTTTTAGACAGTAATTTGAAGTGGTATGTTGAATTAAACCTCAAGAAGTGATGCCAATTAATCAACCTCAAACATTCTGAATGGTTTTTCCCATTATTAAAAAAACACTTTAAGAATGAGTGATAAATATGCCCTCTTCTATTTCTCTTTTAGTCTTTAGTTTGCTGATATATCATGTGTTTGTCACTGCTAAATGATCCATTGTGTCACTTTGACTTGTACATACGTAGATGAGTTTAATTTCAACAGCATTACTTTTTCTTTTGGTTTTACTTTAAGTTTAAAATCATCTGTCTTTTGTTTTCAAGTCCGCGCTGACCTTCACTTCTTGGATAGGAATGAGGGGGAGTCTGTGGTTTTCTCCTGTGTGGTGGAGAAGAGGAACCCCCCTCCCTATGGTGTCTACCTGCAGCGACGCTTTCTGCAGACCTCTGAGGTGCTGTTCATGTACACCAAGAGCGACTTCAGCACGAACAACAGTTACGACAAGAACCGCACCAGTGTGAGCGGGGACCCGAGCAGCTACGCTCTGAACGTGACCATCACTCAGCTGAGGGTCAGTGACACAGATCGCTACGTCTGTGAGTTTCTCGTGCCGGTTCCTTCCTCTGAAGATCTGCACCTGAAGGGAAACGATGAATTCGTCCTCGTGGTTAAAGCTAGTGAGTTCATTTTGATTCTTTTTTTTTAATGTAGGCCGTCAAACATTTCAGCTCTTCTGTCAGCCAAACTTTTAAAATGACCACAAAGACCAAAAATGCAAAGTGAGACGGGGGAAACCAACACTCAAATGTACAGATGGGAAGTGGTTGAGGGAGGTGGGTGAGGGATGTGGACGAGGGGTGGTTGTGAGTAATGGCGGTAAGAGGTTGGAGGTGGGTGTAGGAGGGGGGGTATATCTTTTTTTCCAAGTGTTTTTATTGTAATTATTTTGGGTTAATATTTTGAGAGTTGTTTACCACTGAACACAACGATCGAACAAGACATGCTCAAAAGGTTTCACATGCTTTAGTTACCGTGATGATTGTGACAGAGGTTTTGAAAGGGGCTCTTTCTTTCTTGGGAATCAAAGTACTTATTTGAAAAAAAACAAAAAAAAAAGATTCTGCGCTGGAAAAGGATATACTCCACAACCTGGCAACCCAGGCTTTATATAATTCAACTTTATAAAGCAGTTAATGAAACTATCGAGGTGTGACGTCAAGCGTGGCCTCTGAGCAGTTTTCTAAATGATCTAATGACCACGGCTCTGATCATCTGATCATCTGATCATCTGATCATCTGATCTGAGCGTTTTGTCGTTCCTGATTTCAGACATTCAGCATTTTGAAGACAGAGAAAGACGAAGTCTGTACACCAGAAGATGCTCCAAGTAACATTTGATGGGAATGATCACCACATGTAAAGTTTAGCTGGTGTTTGGAATTAGTCTTTCTCTGTCTTTGGATGTGTTTTTTGTCTAGCAGCCAATAGGCTCCTCAACTTTTCGGATGTGTTTTTGACATTCAGCATTTTGCCCGTCATGACTCACTGATCTCAGTTGCCAACTTTCAGAATTGCCTGTCCATGACTAAGTTCAAGATCAGAGAAATACAACAGGACACAAACACAACAACAGCAATTGTAGTCAATGTTATTGAGATAAAATCAAGAGCTGAGAAAAGACGTAATAATAGACACACCAACACAGATCTGCAGCCTGAATATTCTTTAAAGGGTAGATGATTGAATGTTATTTTAGGATACACTCACGTTCATGAACTATAACTGCCTGTTGACTGTTCATTATGTTCTTATTGTGGGTTGATTTATTAAAAACATGACATTTATTGACATACTAATGTAATTTAACTCACAGAACGTGACATTCTTAAATGTTTATGTATCGACTCTTCTCCTTAATAACTGAACAGCTGTGTACCTCCTTTAGAAAATAACTCGATCCTTTAGCTGAAGTGTGTCTTGAAGATTTGCCTAAAGTTCAGACACCCTGGTAGAAGTCTTAATGTGTGCCGAGTGCGGCTGCTGTAGCTCAAACCTGCCACAGCTGGTTTTCTAAGTGTGATTTCCTCTCCTCTCTGGAGACGCCGTCAGCTCGACGGACTTTGGTTTGGTAGAGATCTGTGCAGGGGGCTCTGCTGTACTCCCCTGTGTCCCCCCTCGAGTGGAGGCCCTTGCTATGGAGGGGGTGAGTCTGAAGCGGCAAAGGAGCCGACTGGCACCTGTGGAGGTGTTGTACCACTCACAGCATCACCGTGGAAACCGTGGCCTTGTCTCCTCCTCCTCCCGTTTTCCTGATGAGAGGGTCCAGCTGTTGTTGAATCAGGGTCCTGGTGGCATCACTTACAACCTGACCCTGCTGCACATGCGGCCGGAGGACAGCGCCCTCTACAGCTGCACGCTGCTCCTGCGTGGCTTACCTGACAGCAGCACCCGGCTAGGGAGACAGGTGTTCTTTGTGTCAGTGCAAGGTGGGTCACATCACAGCGGGTCCTGAGCGACAGGTCACTTTAACTAACTCACATTTTTCTGAGTTCTGGAGTTTCATTTTTACACTAACATATTATCCTCCCTTCTTTATTGTCATGTGGTTTCATATAACATTTTCTAGTGACGCCGTCATAAACACTACTAATAAAATCAATAACAATAACTGTGGCTAATGTACAACTGTGTGTGCAACTGTGTTGTTGGTTCTTGTTTCTTTGTGAATCATGATTTCAATGCTCTGCAACCGATATGCAAAAACAACCTGATCTGTCAGTTTCACAATTTCCTAATTCCTTCTTCTTGTTTATGTTGGTGGATGTGTGTCCAATAACTTGATGTGTGTGATAACATTAGGGAACAATAATCATGAATACGTACTCCATGTGATCGTATTTATCTGCTGAATGCACCTTTAAAGTGGTAGACCATTTAAATAACTGATGAATAACTATTTCATCGGACAAAAGCCTGACTAAGAAAAAAGAAAACGAAAAAGAGTATTATTCTAAAGATGGTAGCTGTTGGCGTGACAGCATAAAGGTTGCCGTGCAGGCAGTGTGATAAACCACAAAGCGACAGTTGTGATTATGTGTGTGAAGTGTCAGTCTGGTGCTATTCTCACTATGAAACACCATCAACACATCTAAAAACAACAGCAGCTTTAACCCTATCAGTGTGACTTTAAAACTCAGCCTGGTCATTTTTTCCTCTCAACCAACGAGATCCAACCTGAACCAAGAACTATTAAAACAATGAATGTGTAAAAAACGGCTTAAACACAAACAAGATGCGATCCTGAGCTGAAACAGTCAAACTGATCACAGATTAACCCTAATAACATTGTTCTGTTTTCTTAAGATTCACATCTCTATTTGCAGACATGGGTTTGTGGCTGAGCGCTGGTGAAACATGAATATTAACATAATATACTTCAGGAAGGTGACTAATCTTAAATGTCATGTCTTTCTCTGAGCATAACCTCGTGATATTATCAGACAATAAGAGGCATTCATCTGCATAAATAAATAATAAATAACTAAATATCTGTTAATTTCTAGGGCTATGTAGATGGTAAGTCACTCCGCAGTGACTCTTAATATCTCAGTAGGAATGTGATCAAACAGCAGACTAGACGAGGAAGGAAGTTTGCTTCAGCGATTTATGCAATTCCCCTGAACATGTCACACTCGTGCTGTCTTTAAACCGTGCACTAACATGAATTGCTTTGGATTTCAAGTGTTGTTTTTATGTTGCCACATTTGCTGATTGCACATAAAAGCTCCACATTCCAGTTGAGAATGATAAATGGTGTCAGTTTTTAAGTCAACCCCTCTTATCCTCAGTTTTGTCTCTTTTGTCTTCTTCTCCACAGCCGAGTGCGGCTGCTCCGGCTACTCCACTCTGCTGTACGCCCTGTCTGCAGCCGTGGCCGTCCTCCTCCTCCTCGTCTTCCTCATTGGATGTGTGGTGTTTCATCGAGTGAGTTGGATGTGCAGCTTTCACTCAACACAAGTGGAAACATAAAACTGGTGTATAACCACAATCCACACCTGCTTGTTGAGAGGACGTGCGTGAGATTTTCTCTGCAGCTCACCACAAAACCAAGACAGTTTCACAACTTGTTGTTTTCAGCATGTTGTTGCTAAAACCTAACCAGGAAGACAATGTAAACTTGGTTCTACTCCATTTAACCTTAAGAACTGTGTACTAACTATGAGAAACAGAGTCCTTTTCCTCCACTAATGATACATGTGTTGGCAGCTAGAATTGAATGTGGTTAGGACTTCCTGCAGTAGAATAGAAAACTTTGATTTTAACACAGGAAATCGAGTGTGCCTGCTCTGTTTCCTTCAATGATTTGATTTCATCCTGTCTCTGTGTGTCTCTCAGGGCAAAGCACGCCGCAGCGTCAAGTCACACCCTCAGGTCCCCATCTACGAGGAGATGGCCGGGGTGCACGCTGACAGTCAGAAACTGGCCCCTTACCATCTGGAGGAAACAAGTTCTTCTGAGAACAAAATCGGTCACATGAAGAGATCCTGTCCTGAAAACCATTATGAGCGCCCCAGCGGGTGCCCCAGGAGAGTGTCACCGTAAGAACACAAAAGACCTCACCAGAATCACAAATGAGCTTATCAATGTATCAACTCAGGTGTCGTAAACGTGCTGGACTTCATATCAGTGGCACATTGTATTTTATTCTTCTAATCATTTGAATGTTAAATAACTCGGTGTGTGAGCCACATACGATCTAGATTGACATGACAAAAGGCTAAGTTTAAAATAACTTAAGGCCAATGACAGTATTTAAATTTTGAGCCCTTTTTTTAATACAAAAAAAAAAGCATTAAAAGCATTTCAGTGAGGAACTGTAAACTCTGCATAAACACACTTATCAACAGTTTGTTTCTGAAGTCGAACAAACATGTTAAATATATTTCTGTCTATGGTAAACATTTGCTGTGTAGTTTTTTAAAAAAAGAGGCTGTTTTCAGCAACGTCATCATTTTTATGTGTATCTAATTCATTGTACATAGAACTGCAGGAGCCTCATATAAGATACAAAGGTGAATTGTCTCTTTAAAAACAATCTTTGAACACTCGGAAAATATTTTATTTTGTATGCTAATATATTTGAAATTCCATCATTTTGAGTTTAAGATTTCCAGTTTATTGATTTGCAATAATTCACAAACAAATGTATTTTATATGAAATATCTTCTTGTTGTATATACTGTTCTATCCCCTCCCTGATGGCCTTGTGTTTTTATTTGTGTTTTTCAGAGTGTATTAAATAAAATGTACTTCTAAATCGTCCTTTTCATTACTGAGGTGAATTAAGAACCCACAAAAAAAAGACGGGACACATCGAGTTACAGCCAAGAAAATGTGTCATTTATTAATATAGTCCGAAAGAAGCTCCATAATCAATGGAAACATTTATCTCCGGTGCATGTCCTTAACAATCACATTCTATGAGGAGAAAAAAGAACAACATTAAAAGCCACAACTTTGTATTTCAGTTACAGACATTTTTCCTTAATGCTTTTTTTTTTTTCCAAAGTAAAGAGAAAGGCAAAGGCAAAGGACCCCCTGTTCTCCCACCCGTCCCCCTCCCTTTAAAAAACAGACAGCCTTGAAAGTCATGGGCTTTTTTTTCTCTCAGTACAACCCACAGTGCTTTAGCAGAAGGATAAGCGCTCATTGGTTAAGGATTACACAGCATGGTGACGCAATGTAAGGTTTCGCTAAAACATTAGATGCTGATGATGATAATAGTAGGGAGAGGGGGGAAGGGGAGGAGGAAGTAAGAGTAAGTGGAGGAAATGTGAGCAAGAGACAAAAGAAGGAACAACCCTACATCGAACCCTGAACCCCAGAGTGTGAGTCGACAAACGCCCGCAGTACAGCAGCTGGCTTTGGACTCGTCCCTCCCACTTGTGCATAGATCATGATCCTTTTTAAAAACCAGTTTCATTCCTCCACTTCGACCTGCCTCCCGAAACCATCCGTTTACACGTAAAGAAATCCTCTCGCCGTTTGAAAACCCGTCGCAGGAACAGACAGGAGAGATGATTCAAACACAAACTTGTTGCACGATGCTCCTGGACCACAGGATGGAAACGTAAAGACACAAAGTCAAAACATACAAATGCTCTTTTTTTTTTTTTCTGTCGCAGTCATGGCGACAATCAAAACCATTGATCGTTGTTTAAAATGTAAAGCAATATCTACTTAGATTTCACATGTAAAGCACTCCACTTCTCTCAAAGTTGATTCTCAGTCTTATTTGGTAAATATATATAAGTTGCTACGAACATTTTTTGTTTAAAGAAACCATGGTACTCTATATTCTGTTGAACTCATAACCATCAGTGCTCGCTTGGAGTTGAATTGTTTTCAGCTTCTTCTTCTTTTCACTAAAACATGATCTCTAGAAATGATGGAGTTGGTATGTGAAACCCTGGCCTTCCTGAGACAAAATCCACATCTTTAATGAGTGTGCAAGATTGTGAGCAAAATGTGTCGCTTACAGGAAAAAAAAAAAAATGTAAAATCACAACTGGAAACATACAGAGCTACTCTGTCCACACTGAAAGAGAAATGAAAAATGTGAAATATGACACAACACTGATCAATCCCAGAGTTCTTAAAGTAGCATAAATCTTCATTTTGCAAGATTTTCATGTCCATGTTTGATGGAAGATGAAATTTGTCCTTTTTTTTTTTTTTTTTTTTTTACAACATTCCTGTTATAAATGTCTATCCTATTTCCTTAAACTTCAGACAAATGAAATGCTCGTAAATGACAGGTGGCTTTAGCAACAACAACAAGAAAAAGAAACACAAACATAAAGGTAGGCACCTCTGAGATGAGTCCTGTAACAAACTCACCTCCCACACTTTCTCCCTTTCTCCATGAAGTTAACATTGGGATTACTACTCCTTCTACAGCTAGCTATGGCCACAGTTCTTAGTTTTTTATCCCCGCTTTTCTTTTTTTTATACTTTTTTTTTGTCTACTTTTTAATTTTTTCATATTTTTTTTTTTCACATATTTTTTTTCGTTATCATTGGAACAAAATGGTGCAATACTCAATGATAATCCTTGTACTGGATTATTCCACAATAAAAGCCACTATAAGGTAGATAAACTTTTTACAGATAGAATGAAAACAAAAACATAATCCATTAAGTCCTTGAGTAAACATGTACACATGAATTGTCACTGTCTCCCCTCTGTACTTAGACTCGTTCCTCTACGATTAGCTGAGCGAGGGGTAGAAGACACTCAGTGCAACGTTAGAAGATAATAACGTCTATCGTATAGCAAACGATAGTTTCTGACAGAACGACAAGAAAAAGATCCAAACAGACAAATCATAACACACTGAGTGGAACAAACCAACAGGCCGTGTGCCCGCTGAACAGTTTCTTGCACACATTCATACAAACATCTGACTTTCAAGCACACATCGAAGATGACTTTTGCATTTTTTTCCTCTTGAAGATTTTGTATTTCTAACTTTAATACATTTTGAATATTCTCTAAAAGCCCCGAAGTGTACCTGTCAGACGGAGAGAACCAAAACGATTTTCTGACTTCACATTACATTATTGGCGTTCCATGATTCAAGTATTTGTGTTCAATATTTTGTTTTTTTGTTTTGATATGTTTGTGATTTTTTTTTTTGATTTTTTTATCGACTGCTTGGGTTGGGCTTTTAGACAGGCTAATCAACAAACAAAGAAACATATGTACAGTACAAGCACTTCAGAGTACTGTAATATGTCATCAAAACCAAAACGTGCATATCCATCTCTGTAATAGAAAGGCGCAGCTTTCAGTCAATCAAGTATCAGTTTACACCCCCACCCCCCCCAATTCTTTCCTTCGTAATCACTTATTTGCGGGGAAAATACATATTGCTCTTTTTTTTTTTTCAGTTGTGTGAAACCAAGACCTTTCAAAGAAAAATGAAAAGTGTTGGAGGTTAAGATCCAAGAAGTCTGAAGAGGTGATAGCACACACCACACTCACAGTATATACATATGTAGTGTATACATATATACTGCAATCTAGAACAGAGCTGTAGAGAGGAGAGCCTCTCGATGCTGGTGCAGCATGGGAAACCCCCTCACCGCCAGGGTTCTCCAGTTAGTACAGGATGCTGGGAGGTCCTCGGCTATTGGGTCTGTCTGAGCTTGGATCAAGGCAGTTACAGAAACAGGCAATAGTGATTTTTGCTTGTGTGCTGCAGGACTGTGAGTCCCAAAAGGTAGCCTTTTCCCGTTTTCTTGTACATTTCTGTTTTTTTTTTTGTTTTTTTTGACATTTTAAAAACTTTTTGTAAAATGTTTTTAAGACTTTTGTACCTCTTGAAAATGTGCCCCTCCCCCCTCCTGCTGATGCAGAGTGAGGAGAGCGAGGCTGATACAGTGGGCCCAAGCCATCTGGGTCTGTGGAAATGTACAGTTCAGTGGGCCCGCTTTGAGCAGGACACAAAAAACATAAAGATTAATACAGCATCCACAAAAAGGCACCCCGGCCACCAGTCTACTCCGTTAGATGGTGGTAGTAGAGGCTGACGACCGGAGACGTTTCAGCTAGAAGTGCAGAGCTTTAACATATTATAGATTTTTTTTTTTCATTTAGATTTTTTAAGCATTTTTAAGATTTTTATGTCAAACTTCATAAAAATGACGTTAAAATGCAATTTCATTTTTGGTTTTAAAAAAATATGTACCCGGGATTACCCATCATCAACTGTGCACTGTAGCAAACTGGAACCCCGAATTAGCATGGGGCGCTCCCCACAAAAGCATAAAAAAAAAAAAAAAAAAAAAAAACAATCTCAGAGGTGTGAGGGTGTGATGCTGCCGCCCATGTGTTTGATCCCTCCTTTCCCCCTGCTGCACCCTCTGCAAAGGTTTATCAAAGCTCCTCCAATCAGGGAACAGAAGTGCTTTCTATACAGAAACAGTATGACACAGCACATTTTAGATTGGCACAATACGTTGGCATCTTGTACTCATTAAGAGGCCCCAAAATAGTTACGCCAGGCCGCCTTTGAGAGAGGACTCAACACAAGCCGTTTGCTGTCCAATTAGGGTTCAGTTCGAGGCGTGAGGTCTGAACATTTTGTCTCCTGTTTTACTTTTAAGTTTGCTCTCACAGTAGAAAGGACAGACACGGAGAGCTGCATCTTGTACTTGGTATCAACTCCCCAACCCTGAGTTCAAGCTGGACTGAAGCGTCTTCAGCGCAAAGAGAAGGCCGACCTTGATAAAGTGGTGAACTTTACTATATGACAGTGTTCTAGTGGCTTAGCCCGACTAAACAAACATGCCGGTCAGTCAGAAGTGCTAACAGAAAAGCACGGGGGGGAGGGAGGGGGGGGGAGGCAAGTATTTAGGGTTCCCAACTCTGGGCTGAAGTGCTCGTTCCCAAGTCAGTTTTGGCGTGCTGTAAAGGGACCCAGCCTCTAGTCTTTTGCATAGAAACAGATAGGAGGGCCTGTTGGTGCCTGGTCAGGGGAGGGCTACTGGGTCTGGTTTGAGGTGGAGGTGGGGGAGGTTGTAGCATAGCAGCTAGGCAAAGGGTGAGAGGGGAGACAGCCTGTGGGCAGGCGGAGCAGCGCGGACAGCAAACATCCACACCCCCCAGTCTGAGACACCCTATTTTTTTTTACACATCTCAAGATACAACCTGGAAGTACTACAGAATACTGTCAAACACAAAAGCATGATCAGTTCAAAACAAATAGACAATCAATAATGCTCTGTAGTATTGATCCTCGTTTTGCATTCAATACACAGGATGAACATACAGAGGCACCTCTGACCAAAGTGTTTCTGCATATGAACAGTGAAGGGCTAGTTCAGCAGCCAGTATTTCATAGACCACTGCATGTAGACAAAAACAACAAAACAACACATTGAAAAAAAAAAAAAAAATAAAGTCAAACCATCTTTTCAAAAAGAATAAAAAGTACACTGGCAAAAATTCCAGAAATATGACTATAACATCTTCCAGCTAAAGTGATCTTTGTGTCAAAGAACTGAGAGATGGGGAGGAGGGCGGGGAACGTCAGCAGGGCCGAGCGGCGGCGTCTCCCCGCCTCCGTTGGAGATGCCTTGTGTGACGGAGAGCCGTGATTGGCCAGTCTTTGAGGTGCTGCTTTTTTTTTTTTTTGTGTGTGTGTGTGTGTGTGTGTCTTGGGAGACTGAGGGAGGGTTCAAGTGGCGCCCGAGAGGAAGTGCTGCGCTGTAGGGGGCTACCGCTTGACACCCAGAGGACCACAGCAGAGAGGCACTCAGTGGACACTCCCCCCTCCCCCACCCCCCCCCACTCCCACTGGCTGGCCAGTGATGTCAGAGACAGCTGACGTTGCAAGTCTAGTGCCTCCGAACAGAACAAGGCGAAACATTTGGAGTAACAGTGATATTCACTTTGATATTGTTCAAAAAGGAAAAATCAAAGACTGCAGTTTTTTTCTTCTTCCACTAAGTCCAACGGTACATTTCAGTTTAGTTTCCCTTCTTCCTGCTACCAGAGGAACAACGTCAGACACATTTCCAAGGAAAGACATAGTACATAAAAGAGCAGTCTTTTTTTTTTGTTGTTTTTCAAGGTTTTTGCTGCTCCTTTTTTGATTTATTGGATTGCAGTTGAAGCGATTTGCTCTTCATAAGTGCTATGATAAAACCCTTTGAATTTATAAAAGTCTTAGTCTCTTCTGTTTGTACAGTACCAAACGCAAGGAACACTCGTAGGTCTACTGCATTAGGAGGAAACCCCTCTTATTTGGTATTGTGCCAGATACCCAGAACCGTCCAATCCCGCCGCGGATTCAGTCTCTGTTGGGTGTGGCTGTGGCGTGCAGAGAGGAAGTGTGCATTATTGTGTACCCAGTGTCCCTCTTCAGTACAGTTTGCTGCATGCACACTTCAGCAGCTGCTGCAGAGTTTTCCCAACAGCTTCAGAGGGATTGGCGGCCCTGGAGGGAATCCAAGTTTTCAAAAGGGGGTAAGGTTTTTGAAGTTCCAAAGTCTTTTGCTGCAATCAGCAACAATCAAAAACAAAAAAACAAAACAAAAGAGAAACCAGCTCCAGGACATAAGAGTGTGGACGGAAGAAGGGTCTATGGTGTATATTGCACAATGTAACTGTCACATGAAGGTGAAATTGTGTTCTTTTTGTTTTCCTCTGAAAACTGGCTGCCCATACAGACCGCTGGGCTTCATAACAAGTAAGACAATAAAAAATTCAACACAGCACCAGTAAGCAACTGGGTTCCAATTGAAGGTGACCAGAAGGATGTAGGTTTGTAGACGTCAATGATTAGGTGCCACCGGACATACACTGACATGTGCGGAGACACACAACGAGGTTGACAAATAATCTTCTCTCAGCTTATATGTTGTGATAGATATCAAAAAAGCGCTCGGTTCTAGACCTACAAAAAAAGACATTGAAGAGCTGTGTCCATCCCTTTGAGAAGACGAGATGAGATAATTAAGCTGATGATTGGTAGGGCCAGTCATGTGGCCAGGCCTTCTTACTGCCCAGTGACAGAGCGTGTCACCAGTCATGTCCTGTACCACTCGCTGGCTCAGAGGTGAAACTGTGCAAGATTTCAGCTATTTCTTCAGTTACAAAACAAACTAAAAAAGGCGGCTTGAGAAGGACCTGGGCCAGAGAGCACTTAAGGCTAAAATTAGTGCTGAGAAACAAACGTTAACATAACTAGTAAAGGTCTTTGAACCACGTCATTGGCCATGGACATGCTGGGAATGGTTGTTTTTTTAAGTCTTATTTTGGGATGATTTTTTTTTTTTTTTTTTTTGGAGGGTAAAGGAAAGTCTCGGATGGCAGCTTTGATTGCTTCTCCTAAAAACACTTCACACAGAATGTCATGTATACTTATGGAAAAACGAAAAAACACTTAAAAGGTTTCTTTGTGTTGTGTCTCATTTCAGTTTCAAAAATACCAGAGGAGAAGAAAAAACTCAGGTTTTTTTCCCACCCCAAAAAAAGGTAGAGTAATGAAGAAAAAAAAAAAGACACAAGTAAAACAGAAGGAGTCGAGGTCTGCAGTCTGTGTGGTTTGGACCTCAAACTTCTGATTCACAATTCACAGCTCAAAAAGTTCTAATTGATACTGATTATCGCCACATGATTTGCTTGGGTTTTGCTCCTGTTCATCTTGGATTTTTTTTTTGTTTGTTTTGTAGTTTTTTTTCCCCTCCATCCCATCCTCCACCGATGGCTTGCATGACATGGTGGTGGTGGGTTGGATGGTTAGTGTAATCGTGGCATGGCCCTACATTGACTCCCCACTCAGCAGGTCTCCAGGCAGCAGGGTGTTAATGGGGGTGGGGCTCCCGATCACGCGGGCGTCTTCTCCGTTTGGCGGTCCCCACAGGCTGGAGTACTGGGGCACGCCGCCCCACAGCAGGTCGCCAGCGCTTGCCTTGCCACCTCCTCCACCACCACTGCTCCACTGGCCCATAGAGTGGGACTGGCCAGACCCACCCATGCGGTTTTGATTGGTTCCCTGGTTGGCCTGCCAGCTAGTGGTGTTTGACCCTAGCGACTGGCCTTGTGCAAAGAAGCGGTTCACCTCCTCCTCGCCAGCAAACTCTGCCAGGATGGTGGTGTTTCCGAGCACACACCTTCCAGAAGAAAACAGAAGAAATCATTGGTTTTATAATCTAACCATGAATGAGGAACTGAGACTTTTCAGTTCTGAGAGTAGAAATAGCACCGCATACATCTGACCAACATTTATAGTAAATGCCTTTTAAGGGCTTGAGCTATCGTGCTCTCAGTGCACTACCTTAACCACATTCTGTGCAGCTGGTAATAAAAAGTAGGTCGTGAATCATGCATTTAGTTTCCATGACAACCAGCTGCAGGGGCTGGCACTCTTAGCAAAACAAAATTAAGGACAAATCTAAAACACTTAGAGATGAACACAAGCCCCCAGGATGCTCAAGGCTGCTGTCTCGTCTCATTGTTCTTTGATTATTACAGCAAATTTTTTTTTTTTTTTTTTTACACAATGCAGCTGACTTCAGCATGACCCCCACCTCTTCAATCATGTGACTTCCCAAATACTAAAATAACATCAACTGCTCTCAGGCAATAAACTGTTCTCAGCATGGGAAAGCACCAGCAAAAGCAGAAACACTTTGTTTTTCCCAAACTATTTCTTTCTGCTTTTAAAGAACTTCCTTCCGATATCAAGAAAACGTTTTTGTTTTTTTTAATCTCTGCTAAGACTACTTGGGCTGATGTCAGAGACGTGCTGAGGCTTACATGTGCAGAGACTTCTGGGCTTTTGCAGACTCATCCTTGGAGCTGTAGCGCACCACGGCGTTCCCCTGGGTCAGGTTGAGGTGGAATGTGATCAGGGGGCCGTGCTGCATGCACAGGGTCCGCAGAGTGGAGCCATCAATCTGGAGCGAAACAGAGAAAACATCATTAATCACTTATATCAATTCACTTCCTGAGCTCGCTTCATTTTTTCTTTTGTTCCTCTTTTTTTTTAGCACAGTTGACGCGAACATATTAAACTGTTTGATTACTCGAGTTTAATTTAATTTGATTTAATTTTTACTCTGCAAATAAACAGATGAGTTATAAGTGTGCCTTGCCACAATGACTTTAAGAAACTAAGCTTAGGATCATATTAAGTACATTCTGAGTATCCTGCCCTTTAAGTATGTTCTTTTTAAGACACCAACCTGTGAGCAATCATTTTTTTTTTTTTTACATACTTGAAATAACCAAAATACCCTGCAGCCCTGTTCTATCAGGAGTCAGCAGTACAGAGCACGTACCTGTGGGGTGAGATTCCTCAGCACCAGCCAGATGCTGGTCCTGTTGGAGTCAGTGCTCCAGGTGCTTCCCTCTGAAACAGAAATGTGGACACGGTCAAATATAATGAAAACAAATCCATGTATTTTATGAGAATATGAAAGGGTGCAGGATGTGTCATAAATCGATTCCTTTCACATCACTAAGTTGGTTCAAAAGGCAAATATTGGAAAAAAGGAGTAAAACAATTATACAATAATACAATTCAGCTGATGCTACATTTATAATAGAAAATGAAAAAGGTAAAAGTTCCATATCTAATTTCTTCAGCAAAATGTTTGTGGAGATTTCTGAAGTCACTTTCAGGGTTTTAGCTCTGATCTAAAGGTCACAGAGTTCAACTTCTTCAACAGAAAACCAAAACCTTTTTTCCACAAACATGATTCTTGTTCTACCATCTAAAATCAGTCGTTCCTTTTCAAGTGGCTTGAACTTCAGTGTGTCATGTCAAAACATCTCGTATGTACAATTATTAAATGAGGCTTCTGGCTGAGCCGTTAAACCTCAGGATGTCAGTTTAGCAGGGCGTGTTCACTTGCCTTACATATAGTGAAGGCTGTGAGTTCACGAGGGCAGCTGTGAAGTCCAACCACAACCTATGCATCTGTACTCACATCTGTGTTTGCTTCGAGTGAAATACCTGATACTGACATTACGATGTGTTATCTGCTGCTTTTTTATGTGTCTGGCAGTCAAGGCACTGTGAAAGTGTACTGATTCGCTCTGATTGTAAATGTAATTAAATATTTCTTTCTTCAATATTAAAGGTTTAGTTGTTTGCAGTAATGTAAGGATGCATGTAAAGTGAAAGCTGAGGGTGCACTCAGCAAAGTTTCTCATGTATAGATTATTTTGACGACTTTAAAAGATGCACTGATGGCTGAGAAACTGTTCTGAACTTCCAATAGAAAATAAAGATCACATGTTGGTTCTGAGTAGAGCACTCACCAGAGGTATAAGAGCCGCTCCAGCCTTGAGAGAGGCCCAGTGAGTTGCCACCCCAGGTGGAGGCAGGCTTGCTGTTGGTGAGGCCTGGTGGGGGCCGGGATGGGGCCGCACTGCTGCGTGGCCCCTGTGGGACTTTCCACAGCTCATGGGACAGAGAGGCTTGGCTCTGGGAGATCGGCCCTGGGGACCAGGTGGACTTCATGTCAGAGAGTTTACCTTTATAAGGAGAAAGAAAAATGGAACATTAAGAAGTATGTTTTAAAACATTATTCACAGACTTACAACGAGACTTATTCTGTCAACTGTCAAATTATTATTAAAACAATATCAAATGAAATTGTCTACAAACGTATACTTCAAGATATACATCCTAAAAGACATATCACAAAGTAAATTACTGAGTTCTTTGTGAGCTTTAGTCTTAGAGCGCACACACACACACACACACACACACACACACACACACACACACAGGGCGTGTACTGATGTCATGAGCAGCGGGGATGAGGCTTGTTTTTTTCCGTGGTTTGGGTCACAAAGTCACAGAGGGTTTAAGTGGTTTTTTTAGGTTACTCTCTTGGTAGCATTAAAGGTGTTGTCTAATTGGCACTGAGGGAACACGTTAAGGTGGGACTTTGAGGAAGACGGGTCATAGCCAGGTCAGGGGTTGGGTCAGGGTTTAGGATCAGTAAGGAGCACAGGCAGTATTGGATCAGGCTCCTATTGGGGTAGGGGATGTTAAGCAGGTCCACACATGGGAAGGGGGGAGTTCTCTGGATGTGTACCTGAGCTGTCTCCATCAGAGGACGACAGACTGAACGGGCTAGAGTAGCCACTGACTGGCCAGTCGCTGCTGGTTGGAGGCAGAGAGACATTCGGAAGTAGAGGAGCTGGGGAAGTGGCTTTATGATGGTAGACGCAACAGTGCGGTGAGCAGAAACAGAAAGCAAAAGAAAAAAACTTTATGGTTGTCACAATTATAGTTTTTAAACTTTGATACGATTCCAGTAAAAAAATTATTAATATCAATATCTGTTACGATACCACGGCAACCAAAATACAAGTCCAAGGTACCCTATGTTGTTTTGTTTCTTGTTTTTAATGATCAGAAAAAAGATTCAGGCAAACTCTTGCACACTCATCTGGTTATAAGATGTTGGCAACATACTTTTTGCAATTTCAACCCTACTCTCTTTCACTCACGGCAGCTTATAGTCGAAAATAAGAAAGAACATCTGACGTTTTTTCAAAGCTTTAGTACTTTTCAATACTATCGCTCATTAAAAAAATGGAGACTGTAATATTTTAAAATGTGTGCGATATCAAAAAGCTTCAAAGTATTGAGAGAGTTGAAATGCATCAGTGCAGACACGTGATATAGGGGGCTGTGTTGGGAGTCAGGATGGTGTGTAAGTGAAGCGGTTTACATCGGGTTCACTAAACTAAGCATGGCTTTGGTTCAATGGTACTGGCTTTGTTGGATTTGACATATGGAGCCTTGCCTCTGTTCGTACCTCCATTCCTGTCTCGCAGCAGGTAGCGATTGACGTCGTGGATGTTGGTGTTGATGGTGGGACCGCTGGGGACGCTGCCAGGTGTCATGTTGGGGTCATTCTCAGGGTCGATGTTCTGAAGGCCCTTCCATGGCACACCGGGGCAGAACTCTAAAGGAGCACAGTCAAGAGTTTAATGAGTTTATTATTTTTTTAAATGATAAAATCAGAGCTTGAGAATTTTTTTAACAGATTATATGATTCATGCAGGCCGCTAACCCTCAGCTATTTATACAGGTGTATAAAGAAAAATGAGTGATGCCTGGATTTGATTAAGCTGCTTCAGTTTCAGGGTTTTATAGAGAGCTTAGTCCTCACCTGGGGGCCAGTTGATGTTGGTCCCGTTGGTGATCTTCTCATTCGGGCTCTTGCCCTGGCCCCAGCTGTCCTGGACCAGGGGGCTGGTGGGGGACTCAGAGCTGGACATTAGATTGTAAGGGCTGTATGAGTCATCCATCTGGGGGGGCTTCCCAGGGGGGCCCAGGGAAGAGGCAACAGATATGGCACCTGGTGTATACAAGGAAAATATGTTATTTATTTGAATTTTTGAGGATTCAAGAAGGTCTAAAAAAGGTCTATCACGTATTGACAGAAAATGAGCCTTTGAGTTAGAGGCTCAAGAAACATAAAAACATTCACACCCATTAGACTCACATATAATCGTAAAATCAAACCAAAAGTTCCATAAACAGGTTAAAGGACATGTGCAAAACAGGTTAAAAAGTAGTGGGAATAAAATACATATGACACTCTTAAGAGTTTGTGTCTGTTATATTCTTTTCTAAGTATCAGTTTGAAGGCAGATTGGCACAGTGCAGAAGCTGATGGTATCTAAAAGGTTATTTCATCAGTGTATGAAACGATAAGAAAGTGTAAGTCAGCTGTGATGTGATGCCACAGCTCCAGCTCAAGAGAGGAGGTTTATGAGGTTGTGTGCTCGAGCTAACTGAAAGAGAAACTAACAGAGAAAGCTGAACCTGTTATAGTTTTCCTAACACCTCGGGATAGGATGTTCCGGGCTGTGAGCATTTCATCTGACAATGACTTTGCAGTCAGATGGTGTGACAAAAACAATGGTAAAGAAAACGCTGATGAGACCTCAGGTGTGATAACAGTTTACACAATAAACTGGTGTCAATGGTTGAGTTTCTCAGAAGCTCAAATGTGTGAGGGCGGCATTATGCTTTAAAGCCTGTGTGTTTGAGTGTCATTGATTTTTTTTACTACAAACTGTAATTACTGTGTGTTTTAACTCTGTAACTTCTTTATTGTGCTGCTGTCCCTCCTGGCCAGGACACTCTTCTAAATAAGATTCTTAATCTCAATGAGTTTTCTCGTGGTTACATATAAAGTTCAATTAAAAATAAACACTTTGTGTGAACGTGTACGTTTTTCCTCTACGCACCGTGCTTATTGAGGTTGTTCTCCATGTTTGAGGAGTTGCCAGAGAGGCTGTCCATGGAGTTGGAGTGTGTCCACTGGGACAGGCGGGATTGGGGCTGAGGGGGCTCCTTCAGGGACAGACCCCCAACCTCCATGCAGTTTACATTCATGTTTGGATTCAGTCCAGCTGCACACACAAACAAATGCATTCATTAAGATCAATTAAAAAGACAAGTTTCTAATAATTGTTGAATTTCCCCCAAAAATGTACAACAAAAAAAGTCAGTCAAATCAGTCGGTCATTATCTCAAACTGATAACCACACATCTTAGATCTGAAAAAGGATTGATCCATTTTAGGGGGACAATTAAGGTATTAATATGTTGATGCTATAAGTGTAATAGCTGCAGAAGTAAAAAAAAAAAACCTCAACAAGCAAGCTACATTATGGTCATTTCCTGTTATCAGAGGAAAAGATATCACCACATATCATTCAAAACTCTCGTACACTCACAGAGAGGGTAGTTGCTGTAGGAGTTGGGCGAAGAGAGCTGCTCTTTGGCGTGCAGTGAGTCGTTGAGGCCAGGAGCCTGGTGTTGGCCTGTGAAGGGGTCCAGGGATGATTTGCCATGGCCTCCGGAGGGGCCTCCTGGGGCATGCAGACCAGCAGAGGAGGAAGAGGAGGAGGAGTGAGAGGGATGTTGGTGCTGCTTCATCAGCAGCGCTTGGTACAGCTGACGCTGGTGCTGCTGGATCTGCTGCTGCATGTTGGTGATTGTACGTGCAACCTGGGAGAGAAGAAAAAGCAGAGTCACCACAATATACCGTCAAAATCCTTAAGTGGGAAAAGAGGGCGAGGAACATGAGGTTTCATCAAACTGTTTTTGTGGTATTAGGGATGTGAAAAATTATGAAAAGGTGTTGTGTGGAAATACAAAATTATTGAAGGACAAGAAAGTCATCCCCTCTTTCAGCAGGCCTTACATTCTGACTGTGCATTGATATATATCTAAAAAGGGAACCTCAATAATTTAAAAAAAGCAGAACAAACCCTTTTTCACAATATGAGAAAGTCTGGCTCATGCTTAACAGGAAGTAACCTGTTTCCATGCTGATATCTTCTTTAACATTTTGAGCAACTCCTGTTGTTACCGTGCATATTTGTCTCCTCAGTTGTTGTCAAGGGAGGGCCTGAATATCTGTGTCAGTGCTTTGAGTCAGTGTTCACATGGAGTCACACGCACTTCATGAAGGCCCTTGATGATCATGTTTTTCTTGTGGGTGTCATGATGCGATTGTTGACTCACTTGCTGCTCTTGTTGTCTAATAGGGCCGGAAACATTGCGTTGAGCCTGCATCATCTGCTGCTGGATTTGTAAACGCTGGTACGCCTAAGAGAAAGAAAAAAACAGAAATCCAAAACAATTAATAAGACAAAGCTGGACAGTGGTGGTTAATTGTTTCTATTTAAACACTTAATTTGAATTCTTTGTTAGATATTTGTCAGTAATTAATCAAAATGCAATTCTAAAAAGCAGCCTGGTTTTGGATTGTGTGCTTGGTTTCATCTCCTTTTCATTGCTTGTTAAGTCAAACCCACATTCTCTGTCTCATGCCTTCCTTAAATCTGCCTTTGCCAAACTAATACAGTTGGAAAGAGGGACTCCAACTCACCATTTGCAGTTGCTGAAGTTGGTACAAGAGAGTCATTTGTTGAGGGTTTATTGGTGAGGTTAAAAGTGCAGGATTCAGACCAATGTTTTTTGCTGCAAACTGCAAGAGCTGTGCTTGGACCTTAGGGGGTTAGGGGGTGGGGGGGGGGAAGATGGGAAGGCAGAGCGGAGAGATGACAAGTTAGTCACTGCAAATAACAACAACCATGCTGAGAGCAGCTTCTGGCAAGGTAAACCGTGTCACCACGCATGTGTGCAAGCAGGACAAGGGTCTGCCAAAGGAGGTTAGTTCTCTCCTTTTTTGGGAACCAGCCAACAACTTTTACAACCTCTTTGTTGAACAAGACAAATTTTCAACTTCGAAAATATAGAATTTTAAGATAGTTTGCAATAAGACTTTTAGTTCAAAATTCTTGTCAAGCATCCACGTTAGTATTTAGCTGCAAAAAGAAATGACACAGTTTTATGCACCATAGTGGTTTTACAGATAAAAACAGAGGATGCATTACACAAGAAATAACATTTTTACAAATCTTGGTATCATAGTTTCCCCTATTTATTGCAAAATAAGCTTTTACCTGGCCTGTATGTAATAAATCTATGTTATTAGAAAATGACTGTGAGTGCGTCTACCTGAGGGGAGAGAAACTGAGGCACTTGAGCACGTAGACTAGGCTGGGAGGAGCTGAGAGGTGGCACTGGTGGCTGAGGAGGCTGCTGCTGCTGCTGCTGCATGGCCCGGGTTTGTGCTGCTCCACTACTGCCAAACATTCCACTGGGTATCTATAAGCAGGAATCATAAAGGTCATTGAACCCTCCCTTCAACACCTCCACGTTCATTCAAATAGCTGGGACAATTTCAAAAACATTTCAAAACTGATGAGCAGAGCCAATAAATCAAACAGGCATGTGTGTATTCTCCATTTCAAGAGCAAAGAGCAGCAAACATGCACAGTAAGCTACCTGAGAGTAATACACTTATTGTAATAGAAAAGCCGATAATTTAGCAAGCTAGCACATGCTAACTGCCAGTGCTTGGCACCTGTCTGTCCAACAGAAAGCAAGGCCGACTCAGCGTCCACAGGTGAAAGCCAACCCAAGGCTCCCCTTTGTTTTGGATTGAGATTTGTCTGCTTTGAGTTTCTCCTCACCATTATTATATTTTATCTTCTTAAACGCTACGTCCGTCAAATAGTTTGAATCGCGTCCAACACCTCAATTGAATCCACTCCTAAACTCACCAACGCGCTGTCATTGGCTGGTTGAAATACACCAGAACCCAAACCCAGAAATTTCCAGAGTCAACGTAAACAAAACATCAGAATCCAGGCAGAGGACAGGGTCTCTGCAGACACAGTCACCACCACACATGTATGGAGGCCCATGAGTGCTGATTGAGCGGATTCATTTTGTAGAAGTCTATATTTTATTTTTCAAGGAAAAAAGCTACTGCTTCAAACTCTAAACGTGAAGTTTGATGAGCTCATTCAATACTTGAATGAGTGCACTTGAATGGATGAGAAATAACATTTTTAAAGTGCTCTCAAAAGCCTCGTATGTGTCCATGATGCGCCTCTTCCAGCCCACAGTGGAATGTCTAAAACATTTCTAAAAGCATTTCAGCCACAAGGACAAACTTCACACTACCCTCTGTGCGTATACTGAACAGCAGCTGAAAGGGGCAAGCTGTCACATGATGAGTTTTTGATTATTTTCATTCGCCATATGCCCTGCAAGACAATTAGCCGGTAAATGGCAAAATCATCCACATTCCTAGTTAATTTTGTTTGAGAGGTGCTTTTATTCAGTGCAAAAAAAGATCCTGCTTACAGTGCCTTTGTTTGAGGATTCAAGGACATACTGCAGTTTTTTTCTGGGCCAGGTCTGCCTCAGGGGGTTGATATTTGATAGAGCATAACTATCTGATTTCAATGAGACCTTTAGGCAAGGTCATACACACAGGAGTGCGCAATAGAGAAGAGGAGAGCATGTGGGAGACGGTGTGTGTGAAAAACACTTTACGTTTTTGATATTGTTGCAATCACTAAATAATGTAATATAGGACGCATATTTTCATAGTTCATCCTTTTTAGTTTTTGCAAATTTTCAGGATACAGTAACACAGTGGAAATCAAAACGACAAAATGACATATTGATGAATTGTGTTGTTATGTACCATCAAATTATTCTGTTATGAGAACAAACTGAAGGTTAAAGCTCCTGTGGGAACTTTGGGTTTGTGTAGATTTTGGCGCCCCCTGTGGACCAAGTGGTATTTTTGTATTTCTTCACTGAATATGTCCTGAATATGTGTAAGCAATTTATTCATTATCACTTCTTCTGACACCTCCCTCATGGCAGCGACATCAAGCAGACTAATTAAACTGTCTTCCACATAGTCTTGTTTGCTATTTTAGGTTAGAAAGAGGCATCAGTATTATGTTCAGTCTGTTTGTTAACCAGTTATAAACTTCTAACAGGGCCTTTCATCTAATTACAGTATGTATTATAGCTGTGTGTTACCTGTCTGTTGTTCAAGTTTTGCATGGCCAGCCCCGGATTGCCCTGTCCCAGACCCTGCCCAGGAAGGCTACTGTTGGCCAGGGGGAGCTTCAGGCTGGGGGAAGGCAGAAACGGTGATGGAGGGTTGTCATCTGACATAACACCATCCTGAACCAGAGGAGGAAAAACAAGGTTGACAAGAGATGAGAAAAACACAATAATAACACATAAAAGACACGACCTTGATCAAAATGTGTACAGACAAAAGGAAAAATCAGACAATAAATATCACAACTACGCTATTCACCATTTCTAACAGTGTCTGAAAAAAGGCCAGATTGTGAGCAAGCTGCAATTTGACTCACCTTGTCAAGAAAGGTGTTGCGGTCGGAGAGGTCTTTGGAGAGTGCTGAGGGTCGACACACCATGGGCTTGTTCATACCGTTGCTGTAATCAGTCATACCCATGCCCCGCTTGTCCAGGTCCGTCTTCTTCTCCAACAGTGCACCTGCATGAGCAAAAAGCAGAGCGGTAGATTGAGGCCACATGCTTAGCTTTAATAAAATATGTCTTATTTAGGAAGGCTTATGAATTCTTATCAGATCATCAGCTCATTTCCATTCCTGTATTGTTTTTAATCTGTCTTTCTTCAGTGTTGATTCTATCTGCTCTCCTATGATATTCCTCTATTACCCTAAAGTTCAGTGTATAAGGCAAAATATTGATACCTATTTCTTCCATCTGCGTCTTAAATACTGTTGAAACCTATATTCAGAATTTTACAGCACTTGTGAAGCACCGTGAAACTTTCTTAAGAAATGTGCTATATTATAATTCTGTGTCACAAAATATGTCATCTTATTTTAGATTTAGCAGTGGTCATATAAACACAAGGAGATATTCTCTACTTTAATATGCTCGTTAACTTACTCATGGCCTGGTCGAGGTTCATGTTGTTGCTCTTCAAAGCCTCCTCAGCAGGGTCTCTCTGTAACAGAAGTAGGACAAAAGTCTGTCACTGAGCATGAATTCAATTTGAACTGCAGGAGTTTGGTTTATAGGTGGCTGTATTAAACCTTGTCTTAAATAAAAGTGTATCTCTTCACGTGTTAGAAACTGTATATCAGTTAATTAAAGTTCAAATAGATGAACTTTTCAGCCCTTTTGTCACACAACTAGATAGAAATGTCTGCCTAAAAGAAAGCTTAACATAAATATAAATATAAAGCCTCCATACCGGAAAGCCCATGTCAGTGAGCTGTTTGATGAGACGATTCATGATCCACATCTCATCTGGCTTGTTGACAATCTTCCCCTGATAAAACAGAAGAAAAAATATGAAGTTGTATTCTATATTAAAATGATCCCACAACTAACATCTGCCAGTGTGTGAATGAAAGGCAGGTTTGTTCTCTGACCTTGATTGGGACCTTCTTGGGTCCATTTCCCCAGGAGTTGCAAGAAGAGTGGCCCTCCTGGGAGGAGGGGCTGTTCCACATGTCCCCGTCTTCAGTGTCCCATTGGCCAGTAGACATTCCCATCTCCTCTCCTCCATTTCCCCAGCTATCTTGCATAGGTTTGGGGCCTGAGAAAGAGAGTAACACGAACAATATAAATAAAAATGTGCCCAATTCTGAAAAATCAAAACTATCATTTAAATGTTGCTAGTTATCAGTAACTGTGCTTTAGTGTCTGTGTTGCATATTGAGAATACCCAAGCCATTTCAAAAGGGGAAATTCTTCTTCATTGGGTAGTTCTTAATCTGACCACTTGGTGCCACTGTTGGTGTTTCCCCTCTTTCCTTCCCTCTATAGTTTCAGATATTTCAAACCAACAGCCCAAACAACTACAACCTACTGAGGCATGGGATTGCTTTAACCCTGGCTGTACTCCAGTAGCACAAAGAAAACCCTTCAGAATTGTCACAATGGGTACAGGTCGAAAGAAACTTCCTATTTTTGTTTCCCTTACTTAAGTGAGGCAGTGCACACATTCAGGGAGTTAAACATCAATCAATGTTTGTCATCATCCCACTTGACACCAACTAAATCTCAAAAAGGTCAAGGAGAAAGTTAGAATCACAGGCAGATATGAAGAAGCTAATTTACATTATACTAACTTTGCAAAGACCATAGAACCAGTATTAGTAAACTAAAATGCCTGATGAGTTTGTTACCATGTTTGGTGTTGACTTCTCATGTACACAGGCACATCTTAAAATTACTCAATATAAAAACAGCTAACTGCAATTTATCACAGATGGCTGTGGTAGCAAAGCAGCAAAAGGTGATGTATGAGTAAGACCAACAACAGATGAACATATTCCTACATTTGGTGTATGCTCCTTGAGGGCATATCACTTTTTTTTAAATTGAGCTACATATGAAAATATTCCCCCAGAGATTATGCATCACTGTGTTACAATTAATATGTGGGGGTTACCTGGCTTGCAGGGTGCAGAACCTGGGGGTCCACTGGCCCTGCCATAGGGTCCAGAGGGCTCATGGCCACCGTCTCCCCATCCTGCTGTGGGCTTGCCCCAGGCAGAGGTACCATTGTCTACAGCTGATGTTGGAGCTGCTGGCTCTCCCCAAGCAGGCTCCGACTTGGGTTGAACATTGGGAAGCTCTCCCCAACCTGGAGGAAAGAGGTCAATTTGAAAAGTTAAATACATTCAATTTATTCTTAATCAACTATTATTTTATTTTTCTGAGTACTTAAGAATAGATTAAAACTTCCAATTATTAAGAATATGAATTTGAGACTTTTTTGTGTCTTCAGATAGGCATGACGCTTTCTGTTAAGTGCAATGCAAACAGCAGGGGGCAATGTTCTCATTCTCAAAAAGAGAGAAGAATGTTGGGCATTAATAATCTGTAATGTCTATATATGTATGGCCTTTGTCTTCACAAAGACTTATTTGAACGGCAGCACTAACTTAGGCTTGCTGTTCAGAGTCTTATTTTAGGATGCATGCCCATTAGAAGACCATCAATCCTTGAGACTTTCTGTTTGATAATCATAGTAAAATATTATTTGAAGAGTATCGGCTGCTTTTTCTAGTTAATTGGGTTTCTTATGTGTCTGGGTAAAGACAAGCTTTTAATTAGAGCCTTTTCATTAGAAAATGTCTACTTTTTAAACTTAATGCAACAGAACTAAACATACTTTTACTATACCCAAATATTTTTCTTAAGTAAGATATACAATTCAATTTGGTTAAAACCACAGAGGAATAAAGTGTTACCTGGGTTGGCAATAGGAGGTCTTCCCTGGGGGCCTGCACCTGGATGTGAGGTGCCATTGTTGGGTGACCCATTGTTGTTTCCGTGGTGTTGCATGTGAGTTGGAGGTTGTCCATGATGTTGATGGTGGTGCATATGATGAGTGTGATGATGATTGTTGTTGCCAGGGCCAACAGAGTGATTGTTGTTGTTATTGTTGGGGATAACTACTCCCCCATTCTTAGTGGCAGGTGGGCCGCTGTTGCCTGGGTTATTGTTGGGACTATTGCGATCCCACATGTTGACAGTCTGGTTGAAGGCATTGGGATCACCCCAGGTTGATGTTCCGTCATCAATCTCCATCTTTCTACGGATGGAGGGAGGGGAGGGCTCTTCCCAGCCAGTGGGCTCCATGCTCTGGTCCTGTTTACTGTTGTTTCCCCAGCCAGAGGGGCTCTGCTTCACAGAACCAGGACCACCCCATGAACCAATGCTTCCACCTCCTCCACTGCCAGTACTACTGCTGCTGCTGCTTTCCTGGGGCTTGGTGGAGCCCCAGCCTCCTTGTACTGGGCCATTGGCACGTGGGGTTTCACCCCAGTTGCTATTATTGACAGTAGGAGCAGGCTTACCCCAGCCACCACTTCTATTTCCTCCTCTGGGGCTATCCTTCCATCCACTATTTCCTCCATTTCCTCCATTTCCTCCATTCCCTCCATTTCCTCCATTCCCTCCATTCCCTCCATTCCCTCCTTCACCTTCCCACATGTTGCTGGAGGACCCGTTGTTCTTGACCTCTGCCTCTCCCCAGTCCCCTGTGCTGGAACCATTGGTACCCCCATTACTATTGCCCCAACCATGGGAGCTTTTGGGGGCCTCACTCCAGCTAGTTGGCTGACTTTTTTTCGGGCCATCATCCCAACTGGGTGACTTTTCCCCAGAACCCCAAGATGGTGTACTTCCACCTCGCGGACCATTTGTAGGCATAGCCTCTCCCCATCCACTACTAGTGCCATTCTGGGTTTTGCTAACAGTCTGTGGGGGGTCACCCCATCCTGATCCAGACTGGATTTGCTGAGGTGGAGGGGGTCCCCAGCTAGAAGATGACTTTCCTTCGATATCATTTCTTCCTCCAGACCCTGGCCTCTGATTGGGGCCATTGTTTGGATTGATGGTACCTCCATTGGTTGATGAGGGTCCACCATTAGAGCCAGAGCCTGTTATGGTGTCTGAGCTGCTGTTGCTTTTCACATCATCAGAGTTGGCTTCTTCCATCTCCCAAACAGTGTGCTGGCGGATGGGGGTCTGTCCCCAGCCTGTATTACTCAGCACCTTAGGATCCAGGTCCTGTCGGGGAACAGCAGGAGAAAAATCCATGCTGGAGGATCTATCTTTGTGTTGAGATCGGCCTTCGCTGCTGTCCCCACTACCCTCACTTGCCGGGGCTGTTCCAGGCTGCACACCCCATGCGCTAAGTTGCGGCTCTTGGCCTGAGCCAGAACTACCAGCATCTACTGAGTCCCATCCTTTAGATGGAGGATTCCCAGAGGATTTCCCCCAGTCACCCCAGCCACCGCTTCCACTACTCCCACCACCACTGCCTTGGCGACCCCAGGCAGAAAGGCCTCCAGAGGGAGTTGAGTCCCAGCCTGAGTCCTTGGGAGAGTCAGCTGCCTTGGTTTCTCCACTTCCCCATACGGAGCTGCCTGTTGGGTCTCCATTGAGCTGGGATGATTCAGTGGGTGACTGACCTCCCCAGCCAGTCATCCCATGGATAGGGCTCATAGGCTCCTGAGCTTGCTGTTGTTGCTTAGTGTGGTTTGGTCCATCAGTGTTAAGGTTAGCAGGTTCCATATTGAAGGACATGCTTGTGTTGGTTGAAGGGTGCGGTTGATCATTTTCGTTAGCACTTATCATGCTAACCCAACCACCCCCACTATTATCTGCACCTCCCAGGCTCATGTTTCCATTACCATTAATACCTGGTGGGAGGGATGGGGAATTTGACATCCCATTGGAGCCAACACCACCACCATTGTCATGTCCCAGAACAGGCCAGGCTGATGGGTTGGCATTGGGATTGAGGTTCAAGTTAAAATTGGGAGAGCCCCAACTATTGGGCCCTCCTACTCTCCCACTATTCATGCCTTCTTGTTTCCCATCTGAGCCCCATCCTCTATTACCACCTAATGTGTTGGCTGACCCAGGTCCTGTCATCATTGTATTGTTAGCTTTAAGAGAGGGGTAGTGGGCCTGCTGGCCTGCAGCACCTGTGGCCATACTCGGATAACTACTACTACTACTGGTGGTAGTGACAGCACTGGGATCTTGGTTAGAGCAAGCTGAGCCCAAGGGGCATTCTGGTGCTGCAGGGTGGCTTGGGTCACTGCTGCGGTTGATTGAGGGCCAAGCTTCTGTGTCACTTTCGTCAATAATCACTTTGTCCCAGCGGTTGGCACTGGAGGGGCTGTCAACTTGCAAAGAGCTGCCCCAATAAGAGGTCTCATATTGGGCAACAGGACCACTCTGGAGGGATATGTCTAAAGAGAACAAAGGGATAAAGAGAGGAAAGAAAAGTTAAGACAAATTGGAATGAAGGATTGCAAAAATAATTTGGCTGAATGTGCACAAATGCAAGAAATAAAGAATGAAATGTCAAAGGAGTAGAGCAAGGGGGTAGGATAAGAATAATTACATTAGGTTAGACTAAAGAACATCATGCACAACAGCCTCCGTTTTAGTCCCCCGGACCAATTCTATCTTCTTGGTTGGTTAATGTTAGCTATCAGACTTGGCAGGATGAGATGGTCACACACTTGCACGTTCCACAATCCAACATATAATCTGAATGCACAGCCAAGCGTGCTACATGTCATATCAGCTATGGCATATCCATATATCCTTGCCATGGTGCAGTCAGCCAAACAGAAACAGGGAGATGGAGCCCTCACTTCATTTTTCATTCTTCCTTCCTTCACACTTTTTGAGTGTACCTTTTCACCTCTCCCTCAAACATGTTCCTCACACCTCGCTGGCTTGATTTGGCCCTTAATTCCGTTTTGCTCTGAATCTATTATGATTATTTATTATCCCTCCTTCTGCCCTTCTTCCTCTCTGTCCAGGTCTCCGTTCTCTCTGTGCCCCCACCTATTCCCTCTCCTTGTAATTTCTCCCTCTCCCCTCTGCTCTCCTCTAACACCCAGCATCGAGAGGCCCATCAGTCTCCATCGTGGCTTCACTAGCTTGGGCTGTGAAGGGAAGCCCAAGTGGAACGCAGCTCATTTATTGGAATGAAACCAGGATGGCTTCTCATCCATCACTCCCTACGCTCCGCCGGGCCTGATCCTCCTCCAACTGCACTGCACTGCACTAAGAAACCACAAAACACTTCCTCCAGTCTTGGGGGAATATGCGTGTGTGTTTGTCATAGTCTCCCTACCTGCATATGCCTAATACTGTATGCTTGCTTTTGCAATTGCTTGCATATACTTTTAGATACATTTTTGTTCAATCTGGGCAGTATGCACTGTATGTTAACCTTGCCTTGATATTTACAGGCCTTTAAGCATGACCTAAAACTTCTGCACCACGTTACTAAAAACCGGCCATTCCTAACAACTTCCAATAAACATGGTACTGCACACAAGCAATTTCATTAGTTACCAAAGCATCCCTTCAGAGGGGGACTAATAATAGACTGATTTGATGCTGTAGAGGGGTAATCAATCAGTGGGAGGCAGCTAATCGATGATCTTATTAATGCTAGTGGGTGAAAGCAGGGAGGCTATCGATCCAGCATGCAAACATCCAAACCACTAGGGCAGCCTCATGTAATGGGCTAAAAACCAATGAGAACTACAACTAATCTCACTGAGGGGAAGGGGAGAATGAAGTAAGAAATAAATCCAGTAACTCTTAAAGGGAAAAAGGGAAAAGAAATGGCCATTATGAAACAGCTAAATGTATACATTAAAGATAGATTTCCGAACTTGGATGTTTTCCAACATGCAGTAAAAGTGGATGTAGAAGTAGTAAAAGAGCTTATATATCACTGCGCTGCAAGCATAATATTATGTGTTCTAATGCACACGTCATATTTTTATGACAGTAATACATCCCTAATAAGTTTCAAACGTGGCTTTAGTGTATTAAATACCCCAAAAAGAGCCTTGCTAGGCCATTTTTAACGAAAGACGCCATTTTCAACAAGCATTAGAAGCCCAAATAGACCATTACACATTTCTTGCTAACCTGCTGAGCAGCTTCAGTGAGGGGGGTACGTTACCTTCTATTACTCTCTCTGTTTTTATTAGTTTCCATCAGATTGTTGCAGTGATTTCTAAAATAGCAGTAGGTTATAAATCACAAGATAAAGATCCAGTGGTCAAAACAATCCAGTGAGATGAGGGAGGAGAAGTGTGCAGAGACAAACACACAAATCCTCACGACGGCTGGCTGATATGTGGCTTTAAAGATACCGAGCAACACACCACAGATGACTGCAAATGGAATTTTTGCCTGAACACCCTTATCTCAACTCCCCAGGCACCCTTATCACACTGGGTCATCACACACACACGCACACACACACACACACACACACACACACACACACGCACACACGCAGAGTGTTTTCAATCAGTGAAACAAATACACTTAACTTAAAAACAAGCCAGATGAGTGCATAAGTGGATATATAAACAAGTTGGATGATATCCGCTCCATATAAAAACAGTTAACGATATTGCATGACATCTACTCATATATTCCTTTATATTTATTTTAGAACTATTTAAGGGACTCACTCAAAACTCATGTTTTTGGAAGTTGTTGAATGTTCACAGATGGGACAAGTGCATTTATTCTTTAGGTATGTAGGGATGGTTTGAGTTTCACCTAAATTGTCTTTGTTTCAAGAAAGGCTTGGCTTGAGCTGTATCAGATGTATTGATTTGAAAGCAGCCAAGAATCTAAGCCAACACATTTTTTTTCTTCTTCTCTCTCATTCCGTCTCTTCCCCATTCAAACATATGATTCCTGAACAGTGTTGACATAGGTTAAGTATCACGTTAATTAAAGTCTGGAAAGCCTCTCTCTTTCAGTCTCTCCAGTCAAAGATGTGATGTGCAAACCATCTCTTAACCAGTGAGACTCCCAAATAAAACAAACCCAAACCAAACTGTGTGCTGCCTGATGTGGGAAGGGGTCAGTTAGAGGGAAGAGAAAGTGGAAAAAAGCCTGAGTAGAGACAGAGCAGTACCACAAAGCTAGCCAACCAGATTGCCAAACCTTCACAACACTAATACATCACTACTCCCACAGAATCGAGTCATATGTGGGACCTACAGTGTGCAGAGTGTGCAGTCCGTCTTCTTACTCTATGCATTATAAACAGCAAATAAGGGTATTTGTGTAAAAATGTCTTTACATCTTGAGCTCCACAAAACGAGTATTTATCATGTTAATGGATTGTATTGTACTCCATAGGGCCTGATGCAATTTTTGCTCTTTATAAATATGTATGTGTTCATGAGTGTACTAATGCAAAACAGCCTCTCTTTTTTTTTCTTCTTCTATCAAATCAACATGTCTCTAATGTTCCCCTTTAAACTCCCCCATCAGACATTCCAACAGAAAGGTCTTGCTGATTCTGGGAAAAGCCGTGATTTGGCAAGGGGGGGGGGGCGGAGACGAAGGCGAGCTGAATACGAAAAACAAAGAAAAGGGGGACAATTATTTCCATCCACGATTTGCAATCATGTGTCAGTAATGTGGTGCTGCTTTCATTCTGGTAGCAATTAGGAGGTCAGTCTTTGATTACGCTTTGTGAATGAAAAGGGTACAAAGAAAAAATTATGGGGCCCCTCTTCGACTCCTCTTGCTTCCAACAGAGAGCGAATCTACCCTGTTGTGTGCATGTATGTTGAAGTCCATTAGAGAAGATAAAGACCTGCTATCCAAATAGAACTGGAGTTCAGGTAAAAAAAGAACTAAACAACAATGGACTTTTACTTTTTAATGAGCATGCATGCATACAGATTCACGCAGACTCTGAAGCTGTGATGCCATCTTGCTAGAGTCGAAGCAGAAATTAGCAAGAGATGAGCTTCTGATTATGAGACGAGCTGCCATCATAGAAATGGGCAGGTAGCCAAGAATTAAATGCTACCCCTCCCCTCTGAGTGAAATGAAAGGCAGGGTGACACAGAGAGAGAGAGGGAGAGTGGAGCAAAGACGTGGGGGGGGGAGGGGTTGGCACTTGCAGTGTCAAAGAAAAAGAAAGGGAGATGGTGACAGAGGAAGCATTAGCAGACTAAGAGACATGGCATAGCAATAACTGAATTCTTTGGTTTGACAGTGAGCTGAAGACTATGCTTGGTTTTTCCTCAGAGCACACTGTGGGGTGACATAACACCAGAACCAGAGCAGGAGGGGGCATTTAGTAGTCTTTTGTCCCCAAATAGACCCTCTCCATCTCTCTTTGAGGGGTGCTTTACGCCAGCTCTGATCAAAGACGGCACACACTTGTTTTTCCGGAAGCGGGGGAGAAAAAGAAAGAGTGGGGGAATGGTCACAGGAGGGTTTAAAAAGCTCATCATTCATGTCTGTTTACCTCTGTTGAGAGAAGAGAGAAAATAGGAGAGCCACGGCCACGGTGACTTCTCTGGTTTCCCTGACAGAGGCTGGATTAATGAAGCCACTAGGGGGTTCTCTCACTTCTGTATGTGTGTGTGTGTGTGTGTGTGTGTGTGTGTGTATTACTGCCTAAGCACACGAACATCTACACCTCCCCGGCTTCATTAGGACCAAGTAGTGTTGTGATTATATGATGCCTTTAAAAATACAAATTATAAGCTAAGCGGTAGTCTTTTTTTTTTTTTTACATCCATTCGTTCTTTATTTAAATATCTTCATGGGACGCTAAAAAAAATAATTAAGAAAATGTAATACCGCCATGTATTAAACATAGTTTTTGCATTCATCTGCCAAACCTAATAATTTAACATATGTGAGATATACTTGTAAAAAACAAACAAACAAAAAAAAAACTGCTTTACCTGCATATCAAAAAGGATCCAAATGAAAGGGCCAAGTGTTTCAACAGCACCCAGCAGAGTGCCTTCTGGCTACATGCTCTGTCTGGGTGTCTAGCAAACAGCTGTTGGGCTGTAGTTCCCACAGCCTAAAGAGACCCCCACTTCAGCACCTGCTACTGGGGAGCCTGTCTGGACGGCTGCTGCCTGACTCAAGACTACTTAATGGCCCCCAGTCAGCTGGAGAGACGGGGACGGTGGGTGCCACTGAGGGAGGGAGGGAGAGGGGACAGGGGGCCTCTGTCTGGTCTTGGGGACAATTAAATGGGGTCTGGAGAGCAGAGGCTATGTAGGGATGGTGTATATGTGCTTGAATTAAGTGCGGGTTGCTTTAAGACTTTGGGCTGGGGGGGGTGTAGAACGTCTGCTGGAATGTTAAAACTCAAAATCTTTGCACAAATTGAATATGGCCTCTAAATAAAATCTCTGAAAAATAAAATTCCTTTTAAAAATATATGCAAAGTAACCAAAAATAAGTATGTCATTTGCATTTAACCTCCTGAGGACATCTACCAACACTGCTGGCTTATAGAATAAAATGTTTGTGTGTCTCTGTGTGTGTGTGTGTGTGTGTGTGTGTGTGTGTGTGTGTTTTCCCTTTAAACTCTGAGCCAGCTGGCCTGCAAGGCAGACACAGATCTGAAAGGACACAACTAGGTCAGGCTCGTGTGTTCCTTACTGCTGCACAGCACATCTATGTGCATGTGTTTGCATGTGCACCAAAGTCTAACGGAAGATACAATCACATCATCACATCCCTCTGGGCCACCGCAACCTCAACAGCAGGGTCAGAAGTGTGTCCTTAAAACAGAGTTCATTCCTTACTCGCAGTAACCCTGCGGAGGAAAACTTAGTCTTCACTTACCGACAGGAAAAATAAAACAAAGGCACGGGCAAAGTTGCATACATTTGGGTTTAGCAAAAGCTATAATATCATCCTAGCTATGACAATGATGTAGCTAGCTCTTGACTAGAGGATAAAAAATAATTCTATGTACTGTGTTAACATGGTTGGGTTGGCTGAAATTCTTGCTTAAGCTGCAAAGTGTGTAGTTTGGCAAATAGGCGTTCTGTTGGAACTCTTTTTCTACTAAAAATTCCTCCATAATCCTGTGTTCAAGACCACTGCACGTGTGGTATCATGGGTTTCGTACGTTTTGTTAAGGTCTTCGAGGAGAAAATGGTGAGGTTTATAGTGAGGTACAAAGAAAGCAAAGGCATTGGCAGAGTTAGTCTACCCATAATGTCTACTCTGTGAATGGAATACAGCTCAACAGTGACCGCCCACGTTTTTGGCAGCTCTGGAAGTACATTTCCAGATTCAGATCCTCAATTTGACATTTAAAAAAAATCCTTACAGTAAGAGATTGAAGTGTGTTACCAAGACAACCATTTTTCGAGAAAATCAAACATTCGATCTGGCAAACAAAGAACGATCAGAAAATGGAGAAAAAGGCAACGGTACAAGACTGTGTACTTTATACAAAACTGTGTAATTTTTTTCTGGAGTCAAAGACACTACGCATCCCGCAATCCAATGTGAACGATACCGTAACTTGTGTCAATGTTATAGAGTTTATACTGTTAATACTGCTGTTGTAATATCTTGTAGTTTGTGCTGTGAGAGTATTTAAAATTACATTCACTGCAGCATGTCACGGTTCAATCTGTGTTAGCGACCTTACTAGCTAGCCTTCTAGAGGAACTATCAGTAAGCATAAGGCGCTTGGTGGCGGGAAACGTGACCATGGCAACAGCGAGAGCCACCAATCAGAGACGTCGCTGGGACGCTATGATCGTGGGTATGGGTAGTGTACTTCTTTCCCCCGATTATGCAAATAAACCAAGAGAATGATAAAATAAAAACACGGGTAGCTCATGGTCCAAGTCTTCCTTGGGTGGTTGTGAAATAATAACAGAAATACACTACGGAGAAAATGAATGGGATTTTTATTTCAGAACCACACGGCTGAGTCCTATACTAGCAGCTACTGTCATTGTTGTGAATGGGGGAATGTAACATGTAGTGTAAAAGTGCTTTGACTGGTCAGAAAACTTGAAAAGGGCTTTTTAAATCCAATTCCATTTACGATTTACTCTCTGAATGATGTATTCCAGAGTCACTGCAACAACAGGGCAGCTAGCTCGAGGCTATTGGCTGAACAGTCAGAAAAGAACAGGCTGTGAAGGGGAAGTCCTCGGAAACAAATGAAAAGAGAAGGGGATAGAAACCCAGCCAACAGCTAGCTTTGCCACAGGCTGTGTTGTACTGGGAGGCCCCTGGGAAAATCAGGGCGAGGAAAAGGCCGAACATGAAAACCAATGCAGCACAAGGACGATAATAAGGACATTATGGGTTAATACACCCAATCTGAGGAGCTGATCGTGTCTGAAGCCAAAAGAAGAAATATATTCTTTTACATGGAAAGGCTTTGAGGTATTGTTTCTCCTGAGTGAGTGCCTGCAGCCAAATTCAGATCCAATCCCATGGCTGAGAAAACTCTGCACTAACAAGGCTTCTTTACTAATAAACAATAAAATAAAATCCATGATATCATGGTTAAAACAAATGCATACGTAGTTTGTTAAATTCTGAATGAAAAGCAAGACTTATTCACAGCATGCCTAGAGATTTAAACAGCCCAACAAAATGATGTGAGTTTATGCATAGTGAATCCGATTTCATCGACTTGCTTTGCACTTTTGCTTGATGCTCTAATTGGTGGAATGTGTTGAAATACAGAAAGTCTAGCATCAGTTGCCCCTGTGAAGCAGAGGTCTTTAGTTTGCCGTCTAGCAGGCCACACACCACAGCTTGTGCAGATTTGTTTACCGAGTGCCCGGTGCTCTCCCAGCAAAATGCTGAGTGTGTAAAGAAAGGCAGCACTGAGGAGCAGTGATGAAACAAGAGAGAGTAGAACAGAGAGACGGAGGAAGATTTAACAAAGATGTGAGCTAATTTTTCCTCCTGGCACCTGCTCAAAGATATGCATATAAAAAAAGAAAACAGTATGTCTCCAAAGTGTAGTGTGTTTTAAACAGGATCTGACAAGCTGCCATTTGTGTGTCCGTGTGTATGATAAGCAGATGGCTTTCTTTGCTTTAGATGCAGAAAAAAAAGGGAAACACCTTGAGATGATCACAACAATGTAGTTAGGCTAACAAAAAAGCTGAAATATGGAGGAAAATAATTTTCATAAAATAAAAAAAAACATTTGCGTACACATTTTAAAAAGAATCCCCTTAATGTCTGTGAGCTAAGAGAAATAAAGCTGTCCAGTCTATCCTTAACAACAGGTTTGTTGCATATAAATACACAGAAGCGGCAGCACGATGAGCACCTTTAGGCATGTTCAGTATTAGTGATCTTCTGGGTCACCAGTGAGTTCATTAAAATGCAACCGCTGGCTACACCAGTGTGACAGTGTGTGGGTGTGTGTGTGTGTTTGTGGTCTTTTAAGCTGAGAAAAGAGAATGCAGACTTGTACAAAACTGAGTAATGTTCCTCTTACTAAGGTAAAACATTAACCAAAATGTTTCAAGGTTATGAAATAATTGTGTTTTTTTATTGTCAGTATAATAAGCAGCGGACAAACACACTAAAACACAAAAACCTACTTAAATAACTGAGCTATGAGATGATTTTTAGAAGGCCAAAGAAAGTAAAACCAAAAGTAGAAGCAACAGCTATTTGCAAAGCAGCTTGGATACGTCAGAGATGGGGTTTGAAATCTTTATCTGGATCTCATTTGCCTAACCACATCGTTTAAAAGTCTTATCTCATAGGTGTGCCGTTGCATTACAATCTGAATCACTGTAATGTATTGCACCCTCAACGCAGTGAATATGTCATTGCTTCTTTGCATACCACTGCGTCAGTGCCAAGGCAAACCCAATGCAAGCCAATTAAAACTAAACGAGGAATTCCTTAGAAACCTATTTAGAATTCTAAACATGTTGCAGATGTCTCAGAAAAATGTTGTGAAATCTGAATCAAAGCTAGATTAAAACGGTTCAAGCAGAAAGTTGGAGTTCCTAAGCTCATCAAGTGAAATGTCACTACATGCAGCCCATGCAAAATTTAAAAAAAAAAAAACTGCCAAGGATGAAACACTGCACAAGGCCACCACACACACACAAAAAAAAAAAAAAATACTGTTTTGACACAAACCTTGGTGGCGTTTGCCTTCAGTGGACGTGGCAGATTTTGGGGTAGTGCTGCTGGTAGTTGTAGTAGAAGTAGAAGAGTAAGATGATGAGGGCGAAGAGGAGGAGGAGGAAGAGGAGGAGGAGAGGGTGAGAGCGCAGAGGGCTCCTGCAGGCAGTGGCTGGCCTCTCTTCAGTAGCTGCTTGTGCTCCTGCTGGCGGAAGCGCGGGGGCACCTCTCTGGGCGGGTAGCGAGCACTGGCAGAGGACAACTGGCACTGCTGCTGAGGGGGAGTCTGAGTCGGGAGTTGGCTACTGCAGGAGGCACGCTTGCCATTGCCAGAAGAAGAGGAGGAGGAGGAGGAGGAGGAGTGGGGCAGCGTAGGGCTGGCGGGGTGAAGGTGGTGGGGTGGGCCGAGACTGGGCTTAATGGGAGCAGACTCTGGCACTGGATGGACACAGGCACACCCAGACAGAAAGACACATGCAAGGAGCAAGGTATTAATGTCTCGGTTAGCTTACTATGAGTCCTGCATAAAAGAGAAATGATCCTGGGATGGCTCTGCCTGTCTCTTAACAGTGACGTTCATTTAAGCATCAGTTTAGTTTAATCAATTCCATCTTTCTCATTGTGTTTTTTTTAACATGTCACAGTATTACCACATGATCTGCACATCTGGTGACAGCACATCAAATACAAACCGGTTTGAGATTGACAGGAAAAATCAAATAAAAATCCAATAATATTAAAGAGGCAGACATGTTAAAAACATGATCATGCATTCTCCAGAAATGTAATTTAGCACACGACATTGTACGAATCTGTTGTCCGCACAGGGATGTACTATCCCTTTAAGTGAACTGCTTCATGCAACCTTTTGTTGAACATATGTTACAGGCCCAGACGTACTGCATGAAAAGGTCATATTTTTTCTGCTGACTGAACACAGACACACACAAACACATGGAGACAACTCCTTTCCTCTTCATTACACCCCCCCCCCTCCCCTCCTCCTACACACACGCACACAAACACCTTTCCCTGCTGTTTTGGCCTCCGCCTGACCCTTTCCCTATGGTTGCAGTGACCAGCCAGCCGTCTAATTGAGTGTTAGCCTGAAAGGTGTTATTATTAGCAGGACCTGGACAGCTAGCGACCTGACCGATCAGCTTGGCTAAAGATTCCTATCAAGGGTGCTGCAACATGGGGGAAAAAAAAAACAAAACCCTGACCTTAAGCGGTGAAAATGTTTTATTGGGAAGGTGAAAAGGATGCTGATGAGAGTCTGTGGGTCTGTAGCTGTATGCACTTACAGCTGTGAAGCTGAACCACGCTCATATTATACTCTACCTGCTGGTTGCCAATGGCTAATGGCCTAAAAGCTGCAGTAAATAACAGTCTCTCGTTTCATGGGAGAACGCATGATGAACAGAGCTGATGTTTTTCTTTATAGTCCCTTGACAGATATGGCCTACACAACAGCTGAGACTGCCTACACTCAGGGGAGCAGAGAGACAGACAGAGAAAGACAGGTTGTGTGTGTGTGTGTGTGTGTGTGTGTGTGTGTGTGTGTGTGTGTGTATGTGTGTGTGTGTGTGTGTGAGAGCTTTTCTTTTAAGCCATGAAATAGCAGGAAATAGATGGCAAAGATGTAATATGTGAATTAGAGCTTCACCCTGACGAGTATGAGATTCGGAACTTGCAGTGTTGGCAACTAACCGCACACACGCACGCGCACTCGCACGCGCACACACACAGATACACAGAAGCTGCCACTTCGGAGGTTAAAGTAAATTCAGAGCACAGAGGTATTTGTGGTGCCTGCCAAGAGCTAGTCTGAAAGCTCGGCCAAAAACAAAGGCCCTCTCATTGAGCATAACACTAATCCAGATGGCTGCTTACCTGCTGACACACAGAAACAGCAGTGATATGGAGGAAACTCATATTTACTTCAATGCATTCACATGAAAACAAAACATCCCCTCAATGAAGAGACTTTAATATGTATCGTTTTTTAAGGGCAAAATATTATAGTCTCGGTCATTTCTATCTATGCCAACAGGTACATGTGAAAGACACCTTCACAGTTGTTTGCACCCCCTCCCACCAATGAGATTATAGTCCAAAACATTTCCAGAAAAAGGCCTGCCCCCATCCAGCAGTATCTGGCTGCTGGCTTGGAACTACAGCCTGTGACGCAGATTTCTGTTTAAATTCAGCTCAGCCTGCCTGACGCTGTCTCGGCCAATCAGATGGCAAGACGGAGAAAACATGCTGCCCTGCCCCCTTTTTCTCTCCGTCCTCCCCATCAGTGGGTTGCTCCAAAAACCTCACAGCTTCCTCTCTTGATCTCTCTTTCTCTCACTCTCTCTCAGCCTGGTGTTCACTGGGTGATTTTTTTTTTTTCTCTGGGCCTTTAACCAGCCTGTGTTTTTTTTTAACTCACTTTTGGCCTGTTTTGTTTCTGTCTTCTTACATGCAACTTTCCAGCCCTCCATCTTCCAACTCAAAATCTCAAAACCTCTAAATCTGTAAATGCTTATCTTTATTATTTGTTTAGATAGGACACATTGTTTTGCCACTTTTCTCTTTTAATTTTTAAATAAATCAAAAACTAAAGACAATTACCAGAATGCATTTTTTTGGATGATGCTTACTGCTCAAACATAGAGCCCACTGTGTAGAAATTATTTATGAGTACAAGCCTGTACTGAAAGTTGCAAGAACTACGTTGAAACGTTTGGACTTCAGTGACAGCTGCTGTAGTCATGTCTTGAGTTACTGCCAAGCAAGAATGAAAAAAAAAATCTAAGACGACTACATTAACTAAACGTTTTGTCGCAGTAAAATATATGACAATAAAACATCACCATGTGCCATACTTACAAAAGCTCTTTCTGCCTCTATCAATCTCACAAAAGTTTTCCTTCTCCAACAAAGTCATTCCTTTTTCATGTGTTATCCGTCTAGTTTGCCAATTCTTTGCAACGTGCATACACTGAGTGTCGCTGAAGGAACTTCCTGAGTTTCTGGGACATCTCAGATCCCAGAAAGGAAAAAAAAAAAACGAGATCAAAAGACACATATGGAGTCAGCTCACTGTTTATTTCTGCTGCCAGTCTGGCACAGGGAACAGATGAGCCCAGAAGACAGACACACAAGTCCCTTAGCTCCAGCATGCCTCATACACACCCTGCTTCATGCAGTCTGTGTTTGTGTTGCTGTAGTAACAAGGGGTGTATCCAGGCTGCAACTCCCTTATGTTGCAGATGAACATGTCTTATTTCTTTGGCACAAGCAGTGACATATCTTTCTTCAATCAGACTGCTAAATTAAGAGCCACATTGTTACACACCTGTGCAAGTATATTATCCTCTGCATGCAAAGGAGCGACAGTGATCAGAGTATATAAATGTGCTTTCATTACAGCCTCCAGCAGGAAAATGTAAAGCAATCTACAGTGTAATCTTAACAAGTATAACAGTGAGGCTGCATGTTCTCCTGAGAGGGAAGGAGCGCGTATAAACAGAGAAACCCACAGTGTGTGTGACAGCGAGGATGCAAAAAGGAGAGGAGAATAGTATGAGAGATACAGCTTCCCTCTGATCTGAACAAATACTTTTACTGAGATGCATCTTTTATTTGGAGGAGGAGAGATCTTCTCTTAATCCATGGTGAATGAGTAAGAGCTTTGGAAAAGGTGGGGTGGGGTGGTGTTGGGGGGGGGGAGCTTTATAGAGAAGACTCTCAGGGGGAAGAAAATGAAAAAAAAAGTGGGGAAATCCCAAAGATGAGAGCATGTCTATGAGAGATTAAATGAGGACAGTGAAATGCATGCTGGCTACACTCACCGCCAGTGAAAGGCAATGAACTCCACGCGGTGAATTAATGATGATGCAGGCTCATTGCATTTCACTGGGTGACTCGTAGCTTTGCAGAAACAGGGTGGAGCTGTTTGTTTAATAGGGGATGTTTCTTTAAGCGACTTCTTATTGGTCACGTCTGGACTTAATCCCGTTCTATAAAATCTACTCATTGAGAGCTTTTTGTGAATTAACGACACACTCAAACTTTTACTCTGTATGTGTTAATGACGGGAAACTGCTGTTTGAATAAGAAAACAAAACAACGGGACAAAAAGATGGAAAGAAAGACTTTTGAATAATTTCACTGTTTACATTAGGCAGAGTTAACCACAGACATACTAGAGAAACACAGCAGTGTGTTATGTGGTGGTGACCTTAATGCCTGTAATTGAAGCTGAAAAGAGTAGCCAATTAAATAAGCGTTTGTATCAAGTGCACTGTAAATTCCATTATACCCTCCAGCTGAGGCGCGCTCTGCAACCTTGCACCAAACTTTTAATTACAGCCCTTCTTCACACTAAATGGTTAATTACACACAATGAGACGGAGCGAGAGAACGAGCAACGGCTTAAAGAATAAGGAGCAAGTGAGAAAATGAAGGGGGGGGGGGGAGAGAGAGAAACATGGCAAAAGGAAATACACAAAGGAATCAGATTAAGAGTAAAATATCCACCAAAAAGGCAAAGGGTATGGCGTCTGTTATTGTAATGAAAAGAAACGAGCTGTGATTGGTTCCCTGAGCCTTGTGCCAGGCAGCGCAGGTTCCAACATCTCTTCTGTCTATTGTCTGCAGCAGAGCCACTTTATTATGCAGTCATGTTTATGGAAGGAGGAGGGACAGACCCCCAACACACAGGCATCTGCTCCACACAATGGTGCATTTCTTAATCCAATAAGAGGTAGGAGAGCAAAGAAGAATACAGCATGTTCTAAAGTGGGTTTACATCTGCGTGCAGCCGTTCTAAACACACTGCTATTCAAGTGGTTTTATGTTGGAGTACTAATGTGTGCATCTTTTCTTTTTGCATAACGAATGAAGCATGCCGATGGCTTGCTGAAAGTAAAGTGAAATAAGAAAGTGTTTTGTTTTGCCCAATTATTAAAGGATCAAAACAATATACATGACATGCAGAGGCATGAATAGATTGGTGCTGGTTAGATCAAACACACATGGCAAAAACAATTGCAAGTGTTTGGACTGAGCTCCTAGCCTTTTCAATATTGTTCTCATTTCCTTCCACAAATTCACTCCAAATGCAGATTCTTAGCTTCTTACTCACTTTAAGAGCACCGAGGCTGCATCCCTTTTCATGGGAGTAACTCATACACTGTTTAAAACTTTTAATCTATACTCCACCAGGCTGACATCACTGCTATTTCCTCTTTCACTTGGTAAAATCACAGGAAATCTCTGTGCCTTGAAACTATGGCTGTATTAGAGGCCACTGTAATGAAAGAGAGTGGCACTTATCCATTATGTTTAAAAAATGTCATTACATTACGTAGTGAAATAAAGAGGTTATTTAAAGCTTGTGTGAAACTGTACGACATGTTTTTAAAGTTCTGCTCTTGGACCTGCAGGAGCACGGATTAATGAGAAACTTGTTTTACACACCAAGAGGAACCTTAAAGTCGCAGAAGGCAGATGTGTGTGCAGGAGTGTATGCACGCACACAAGGGAAGGTCAAGTGGGTGTGTCTCTGAGAGGTCCCATCTGTCAGTATAAGCCGAGAAAGACGGAAGAACCCTCGCTCACTCACAAAATAAAGGCTAAATTTCTCACCCCTCACCCTTCCTATAAAAGGCTGTTGCTATAGAAACTGACAGTTGCCTAATGCACCTCCTTTTGCCTCTAGTGACCCCTGTGCCTCCTGTGACCTCTTCCCATACCATGCCTACTCCACCCTTCTCTCTTTAATGAGTGCCCCCCCCTCCCTTCTCAATGCCAGCGCTCCTTTTTCAAAAATCTATAGTGTCAGATGCTAACCTCAGCTGTGTTTCTCCTGGCGGTTCAGATCATGACCGAGTTGCTCTAAGAAACCCAAATTTAGTGTTTTAGGTCTTGTGGCAGATTATTTTAATGTGTGGTTGACCTGTAACTGAGGTCGGTGCCTGAATGCAGCGAATGCCTGCGAGGTCTTAAGAGTTTGATGGTTATCCAGCGTGATTCAAGGTATCTTTAACTTTTAAAGGCTGACATCAAAATGAGAAAAGGGCCCCCTTCCTAGCCAGGAGACCAGGGTCATTAAAGCAAAAGGAGCACAATTAGACATCCACTTAATGATGTTCCCAATGCAAAGTTCTCTCATGTAGGTCCTAGTAGTACAAAGTTCTGTAAATCCCTACATTATGTACGATAGGAAAAAACATCATGACAAACTAAATGATATGCTAGTCTTTCAAAACCTGTAACTGCTGGTTGGCAGTGGCATGATGGGAGATCGAGAGGATCCACTCACACATGCGTGCAGG